AATTATTAATAGTATATGATGTTCTAACATTGAATAGTAATGTCTCTGAAGATGGACAAAGAGTCCGAACGTGACATATATACAGAGAATAGTTTCATGCTTTATACCTAATTCTATTTTTTTTTTTTTTTTTATTTCGATATTCATGTTTCATCAGAAATTACTTGCTATTTAGAGGAAACAATTTTTGCGAAAAATCATTTAAAATTGAAGGGATGGTAGAGGAATAAGCAATGGTGTATTATTGGTATTGCCCTAAATCGGTCTTGGTCTTGCACTTTGCAAGACCAAGGCTGCCTAACTGTTGCAAGACCAATACCGGTAATAAAAAAAACGATTTTTGGAATAAAAATTAAGGCAAAATAGCCACTAATACTTGACAATCTTAGTTATTATATGTAACCAATGGTATAACCAATTTACTTTTGAATTTAACTATTCTAATTCTTCATTCGGACTTAGTTAGGTTTCTCCTATCTAAAAAAATACAGTAATATCTCGTCAGTAATAAGCCTGTTGCGAGACTTTCGCAAGACCAAGACTCGTCTCGGTCTCGCATTTGGGCAACACTATGTGTTATAATTTAATTTATTTATAATCTTTAAAACACTTTAATGAATTATTACAAAAATGTTATCTATGCATCTTTTTAAGTTAAAAACTCTTCATTCCATTGGTGGATCGTTTTTGGACAGAAGCCCCTCTCTTCCCCCCTCTCCTCCCTCAAAAAAAGAAAAATATATACGTTTTTTTACATTGGTTTATACTTGTTTATGTGAATAACCTGAGTTAAATAATTAAAAATCACAAAATGTATTATTTTTAAATTATAATTAAAAGCATTTTTGTTCCTGTATTGTCCTTTTTTTAATTTTATTTTTTTTATAAAGTTTCTTCCTTTTTCATCCAGATCAAATACCGAAATAATAAATAGGAAAAGAAGCCCTCTAAGCAAAAAAATAAATAAATAAATCCTGTATCCTCTATTGCTTCCTACATTAGTTTTTCGTATGACTTTGATATTCCTAAAGTTAATAAAACTTGAAAATAAATATATTCTATAATTTTTGAGCGAAAGGATTAAAATTAGTTTTGAAAATTATAAACCTAAACATATGCACTAAATCGAATAGACAGTATCTTTGCTAATAATGGTCTGATTTTGATGATAATATATTTTCGAATTTTATTACTTGTCGAATTGTTATGTGTATAAATCAAGTATCGATTTCATCTTTGTTGAAGAATTGTACGCAACTCGAGTTTTTTTTTCTTTTTTCTTTGTTGAATATTCTAGTTTGTTGGCATTAAAATACGAGTTGATCTTCAAAATGGTGCTTCATTCATTGATTTTAATAAAATTTTAAGTTATGGCCTTTCGATAAAAATTACTTGAAAAAATATATTTTAGTATGTCTCCTCCAATTTTCTATGAATTAGAATTTATTATTACTAAATATTAAAATATTAGATTTTTTTTATTTACCACATCTAGGAATGTTTTCAGATTTCAAATTAATTCTAAAGGTAAAAACTTTCACTTTCGTTCGAAACCGGTCTTCATAAAATTTAAACCGAATCTTGACTATGAATGCATCTTATATAATCTCAGGCATTTAATCTGTCGATATATACTTGATGTTTCAACTATTGTGATTTAAGATTAAGGATTAAAATTTAATGATTTAATAATGCTTGGATCAGTCAAAACGGAAACAGGTCATGATTAATTTAAATTTAAATTATGACGTTACATGAAGTGAAGGAATTTTCACGAGAAATAGTAAAGAGGATCAATCAACGAAAGTCATAGATTTGAAAAAAATCAAGGCACTATGGAGCTAAAGAAAGAAACTGGGAGAAGAAAAAAAAACGCACGTACAATTTGACCGCTTAATGGTGCGTTTGTTTTTAGAATATCGTTTCATAACTGACAAAGAAATATTCGGAGATCTTTCACTAGTGATATGGCAAATAAAATTAAATTTTTACTCGGTGATGCAATTTCTATGTCCGCGACTGTACATTTCAGTTTGTTTTAATTCTAAGTTAGTTTCACACACATTCCTTACTAATGATTACAACCTTATACATAGTGGTGCGAAGGACCATTTAAGTTAAGTTAACAAACTTGAAAAACTTCATTATTTTAGAAAGATTAAATCCACTACTAGTATATGGTTTGGTTGATAACAGCTTTTAATCGATAATATTTCAGTTTTGTTAATCGTAAAATGGATTGCGTCACCTTGTTTAATAACTACGATATTAATGAGATATATATTATATGTTTTATTTTTGAAATAACAAATTTGATTTATTTTTATTTTTATCATGTTTTGATATCAAGTATTTCATTGGTTTTTTATGACACCTTATTTATTAGATTATCTTCTTATAATAATCCTATATTATAGTATCATATTATTATTAGAAAAAAAAAAGTTTCTCGGTGGAGTTAATTCTGTACTGTTTTTTTGCTCGATTTTTTTTTTATTTTTTTTTTTACCTTCTCCGATATATTTAGTTTTTGGTCATGTTATAATTTTTCTGTTGAACTCTCAGTTCAAATAATTTCTTAACGTCAAATTCCTCCTGAAAAAAAAAAACTCTTCAAAGTGGAAGAAGATTCAATTTAACTTTGTGTTAACGAGTTGGAAAAATAAGTGTTCCAAAATAGAAAATAGAAAATTTTGCTATATTGGAGAGATCAGTTTTAACAAGGTATCAAAATTTTAAAAAGCTAGAAAATATCACACATCGCAAAAAGTATGAAAATTATTGCTTAAAACCTTGAAATGATATTCACTAAAAATTTCTAGAAGAATTCGTTAGTTAGAATTCATTAACGATTCAAATCACTTCCTGGCATAACTGTTTGTTAAGAAACTGTACTTTTTGCCAAATTCTAACTCAGAATTTCTGTGCCTAAGACTCTTCTTATTTTCTTTTTTTTATTTGTGTTTGCCTCTACCCTAGAGGGTCATTGGCGGTAATTCTTAATTTTATATTCTGTTGTGATAATTTGTTTCCATTAAATATTTGAAAAGAATTACGACATCTTCCTCTCTATCTTCCAAAACATCCATCAATGCCGTAGACAACTTTAATTTTTGTCTCTTTTTTTCGTATTGGGGGCACTCTACACGGGCGGATATACGGGGGGGAGGGAGTTTCGGGCTGAAGCCCCCCCCCCTCCAAATGGTAAAATGTAACCATGTTTTATGGAAAAAAATATCTCTTAAAGTGTTATTGCTCGTTTAATTACATTTAATAGGACTTAAAGAATCACTTAAACACCATTTCATATAGGTAGTTAGTATCTTTCTTTTTTTTATCGTTATATATATGAAAAAAAAAAGGTATCCGGCTGAAGCCCCCCAAAATTAAATCCTGAATCCACTAGTGGCACTCTAGTAATAAGTGTTCAACTGTCTGAAGTGTGTTGTCACACTTTTGGCAGGTGAGCTTTTTTTTTTTTTTATATATATATATTAACGTTTAAACTATAAATATAAAAAATTTTACTATAAATGAAAAAAAAAAACTTACTTAATTATCAATGATTCAGGATAGTTTTGTAGAAGTCTGGTAGCTAATAAATGTTCTGAAAGGAAATTAAAGTTTTTTCACTTTTTTTTCTTTTTTACTTGTGCCACTACAACCCATGAATGGTCTTGGGTTCAGTACTATATAAGGAAAGCACTATATTAAGGCCAACGATTGTGCAGGGAGAGGATCGGGCCAGGATCATGCTCAACCGCCAGGTTTTCCTCTTTAATTAATTATATAATTAAGGATACCCACTTTGTAGAGACTGGGTGTGCCCAAGGAGGGTCTCCCTACCCCTGGATTGTCCCACGGCTAATGAAACAGAATAAATAAATTTGCTGTCATGAACCAGGATTCGACCCTGGGACCTTGGGCATTGGAAGCTTTGCGAATAGTTTTTCATTTAACAAATAAATTACATTTATCTATTATTTATACTTTTTAATAATATTTGTTAAGTTTTATTACTGTTATTATTTTATTATGCTTGCTTTAATAGTAAATTCAAATTAAGAAATAAACTATATTTGAATTTATTTGATAATAAAATGACCAAAGCTTAGAAAAATAATTATTATTTACATGTTTCTTACTGCTTGCTATTCAAATCTGTTGTTAAAATTCGAGAATGTATTTTTTTATAAATTATTTAATATAAAATTTACATTTATGAAAACATATCAAATATTATGTTTTGTTTTTCTACTTATTTTTAATGATATTTTCCGTGATTATTTAATTAAGTTATATTAATTATCTGAGGGCCATTATTTTTTAACAGTATTATCTAAAATCCATTATTATAAGTTTTTCATATACCAAAAGAATGATAAATATTTTGATTGAAAATAATTAGAATGACAAATAAAAAAATATTCATAACGTATTGGAAGTGGTTGTTCAAAGAAAAATATTGTTTTTAATCGAATTCTTTTAAAACTGTTATTATAGTGAAGACATATATTAAAGAAAATTATATGAGTTATAAGATATCTGAGTAGCTACTATAACGAAAAAGTAGAGACTGTTTAGAAAACTAAATTAAAGCTGTGTGGAAATATCTTGGGAATGGCTGAACATTATACACCACTTACTGCCAACAACTGTTTTATTTTCTTCTGTAACTCGTCGTGTCCATGCATTCCTTTTTAATTGGAATCATTTAAAGTATTTAATAATTTTAATTAAAGGATTTATTAGAAGCATACAAAAAGTAGTTGGAGGTTGTGATTATTTTCAACGGTTTGATGTTAATTTACTATAAATTTATTTAAAAACATCTTAAATCGGTTTTACCATTCTGACCCTCTCTTTACAAACTTTTATTTTGTCATGTTAATTTACTTACAGTATTATTTTTTGTTATTTCCAAATTATGATTTTATTATTTTATTTTTGTTATATTATGATTTTATTTTTATTTTATTGTTTTATTTTATTTTTTCCAGATTATGGATGAGAAAAAAATAACTACTTCTGAGAGTATTAGAATATTAAGGGAAGTTAGCGTTAGTAGAAGGCAGCAGATTCAGGAATCTTATAAGGAAGTTAAATGTATGGGAGAGCTTGAATACGATGAGTTTTCAAATTCAACCGGTTACTGTAGTAGCAGTTATGATGATGAGGTGATTTATTTCAGCTTTTTACCGTATTTAATTATATATAACTGTTTCTTTTAATATATAACCTATTCAGAAACAAGTTATTTATTATTTTATATAATTATTATTTAGCCATTTCGACTCCTTGAGTTCTTTCACTCTTGTACAAAAAGTTATATAATTTCATTGACTATAGAAACACATAATTCTAATTTTTCCCTAAAGATTAAGTTGGAAAAGAATTAAAATAGAAAAAAAAAAAATTAAAATAATAACCTATACCAGCACAACCCATGGAGGGTCTTGTATGAAAGTGCTGTTTCTGGGTGAAACGTTGTGCAAGGAGATGCTTGGGCCAAGATCACACTCAACCTCTTAAGTTTTTCTTCTAAACTTATTAATTAATTACAGTAACCACTTTATAGAGCCTGGGTGTCCAGGTGTTATTCCAGTAGGACCTATGGAACACAATAAATAATGATCTATCATAACCTGGAATGAACCTGGGACCCGAAGTGTAGAAGAACAGTGTCTTATTCACTGAGCTAACCCACTCCCTAAAATATTAAAAATAGTTTGAATATTACTATTCAAATGAAATATTTTATTTAAAATTTAATCCTATATATTATTTCTAAAAGGTGTTTTTTTGTCGATAAGCCATAACTTCATCAATTCTTCATTGAATCCAATGATCGACCACTCATTTTGAAAATATTCTTCTCCTTCACATGCGAAAAATAGTCCTATCCTCCCAAAATTTCTGACGAAAAAGTTATGAAGGAAAAGAAACTTAATTCACGAAAACTCAAAAAGTTTGCATTTTTTCCTAGATTCTACCCATGATAATTTGAAAGATTACTAAATTATATACAAGACAAAAAAAAAAAAATTGGACAATCATTAAAAAAGATACAGTCCATTAGTTTTGGTATAAATTTCTTCCTCTTTAAAGATATTGCATTTACTATTCTACTACACTTATTTTCTGGCTGATATGTTAACTCTATCATTTCTTAATGGCATTTGTTTGTTCTTACATTTTCTTTTGTTTAATAATTTAGAAAATCCCATGATCGAGGCTTTATTTGTCTATTATCTTTCCAGTCAGCGTTTAAAACTAGTTCCTAGCAAAGCAATTTGTTCAAATATTTGGTCTATTATGTTAAAAAGAATATTTTAATTGACCAAGGAAAAAATATTAATTCCTTCCTTACATAATACATAGGATCTACTTATTTCCATATTGTTTTGCTATTTCTTCACTAAACAAAGTTTTCTGCAAATTATTCGCACAGGCCAGCTAGTATTATTGAATACTTTAATTATATTTTTTTTATTTAAAAAGTAATTATAAAAAGAATCTGTGTCTTTCATTTGCATTTGGAATTGAGACAACCTAAGTGGTTAATGGCAAAAAGAGGTGTTTTAATGTTCAGCCATATACAAGTCCTTAAGGCTTCCATTTCAGTTCTGGAGACTGGATTGCTAATTCTTTATTCCAGTTATTAGTTATGCTGATTAGATTGCCTGGAACCAGTTCTTTCTAAAAAAGAAGTCTATTCTGTTTCCTTCAGAAATAGTCAAATCTTATTTGATTTAACTGTTTTTGAAAGAAATTCTTTTACCTTATAATAATCTAGCTCCGAAATTGTTGATAAACAAAACATTAAAAATGAAAATAGAGTCAGCTAGTTATGGAATTCTAAGGCTCAATTAAAAAAATAAAAAATAAAAATTAAAGCAACATAAAATTTTGCTTTTCTGTTTATCTTTTAATAATTATTTTTTCTTCCACTCTTAGATAATAGTTTGTTACTGATCTGTTTAAACATATATTGCCAGTTGGGAACCAATTATCTGTAATCAGTAATGTAGCTGATATTTGTTGCAAATATAACAGTCTAAAAAAAATATATATTTCTTTAGATTTGAATTTTAGCTGACCCTTAATCAATGAAAAATCAACACAATTTCAAATATTGATTACTTACATTTTATATAAAAACAAACTTTATGGTAAAGATATCTTCGTATGAGTACATTGCATTAAAATAGTATATCTTCTCAGCTAAATTATTAAACTATAACTACTAGTTATCAATAGAAACAAATGAAATTTAATGAGAAAATTAGGTTTAATTTAATTTTATTATTTAAAAACATTATTATATGAATATAAAAACATGATAAGGGATAATTGTTGACTTTAGAAGATATATTGAAGAGAAGACGGTTGGAGTTTACATTCAACGAAAATACCAAGTAAAAATAATTTATTTTTTTGTATAATTTATTTATTTATATTTAGTACTTTTATTATCTAAAAACCCCAACCAACTTCTCTTCAGAATATAAAAACATATTTGTTGAAATACCTACTTAAAATTTAAAATATATTGAATCTTGCTAATAATAAAATAATAGTAATAGTTACTAAAATTGTTTTTAGTTTTTGACCTTATTTTTTATTTATGTAAATTAGTATATACTGATAGCTTATCTTTTGTGGTTATGGTAAAAATAGTGATCATTTGAAAAGTGATGTGTCAGTCATAATGTCCAGAATTTTATTCTTTGAGTTATTATTATTTTCCACATTATTATTTGTTTATCTAAAGTTTAAATTATAATTTTTTTATAAAATTTATTTTTGATGATATTTTATGTTATAAAACTATATATTTTTTTATTTTGAATTAATATTTTGTTGTTTTAAAACCTTAAAGGTATTTATTGATACTGATGATACAAGAGATATAACAAGAATACGAGTGATATCAGAGCCTAGAAAGCGTAGGACATCAGACGTTATAGATTCCATGGGTGATTCGCCTCCAAAAGACAAAAGCTATTTTCCTGGAGACTTTCTTGATCCTGGATCGCCTCCAGTCACACCAGGTAATAACAAATTTCTCATTTTACTAACAACAAAGGTCACGGACATAATGCATAACAAACATTTATTTTAACATATTGGATTTCTTTGATATTTAGGTCCATTATGGAGTAAATAAAGATGTATATTTTGAAAACAGCATCAATTTAATAGTAGTACTTGAATGTGTGATCCTAAAGTTGATTGTGTTTTCATAAAAAACAGCTCTGATAATATAACAATGAATTTTGAAGAAATCCAAAAAGATACAATAAATCAATATACAATGACACAATCTTAAAATTGATAGCATTTTCATAAAAAGTGACTCTTGATAACCTTATAATGAATCTGAATATTGAAGAAATACCATAAATTATAATAAATTGATACACTGTTATGGTTCTTTTTCACTAATAAAACCTATCAGCTGGTCGTAAAGTGATATAAGTCTAATTCATCATTCTAAAATTAGTTTAAAACATTTTTAAATATGATAAAAATGTATTTTAACCGTAAGAATTGCTTTAGAATTAGACAGGTTTAATTTTAACTATCATTAACTCAAAACTTAGTTTCTATCACTTATACCCCTTTGTTTCTAGAGTACTCAGTTATATTAATTATTAATACAATTATAAAAAAATAATAATACATAGACTTGTATTTGGATTATATATAATTATTCCACATGATTAGTTCAGTTATGATTAGTTTACTGTACTTATTTTTATTATAGTAATAATACTCTGTATTTCCGATCATCTGAACTTCAGTAAACTAGAGAGAGAGGAAAAAGTAGTGTTCTACTACCCATTAGTTCTTGGGGTTCAGTACTTTGTTAAGAAGTATTATTCCTTGACCTACAGTTGTGCAAGGACCTACAGATGAATTAGGCAATATAGTGGATCTAAAATGAGTTTAAGTAAAGGGAAAGGAAGCCTTCCCCCACTCAAATTCCATCTCCCCAAAACCCTTTCATGAATTTATATACGTTCATAATTACGTGTTTGATATGAGGGTGGATATATTTCCCTCTACGCAGTTTATTTGACATAGTAAACAAAAATTAGTAAATAAATATTCAGGACGCAGTCATTATAAAGTTTAAGGGAGGGAGGGGGAGGAAGGGAGAGGGGGAGGAGAGAGGGAGGGAGAGAGGGAGGGAGGGAGGGAGGGAGGAGGGGGGGAGGGAGAGAGAGAGAGAGAGAGAGAGAGAGAGAGAGAGAGAGAGAGAGAGAGAGAGAGAGAGAGAGAGAGAGAGAGAGAGAGAGGAGAGAGAGAGGGAGAGGGAGAGGGAGAGGAGAGGAGAGGGAGAGGGAGAGGGAGAGGGAGAGAGGAGAGAGAGAGAGAGAGAGAGAGAGAGAGAGAGAGAAGAGTGAATAAATAAAAATAAAATGGCTCCTATCAATTAACTGCTGGTGATCAACGTAATTATATAACCCAAAAATTCTTACAAGCTTGCGGAAGTTTTGAGTTTGCAGTAGGTGGTGGAATAGGAGTTGTTTGAAGGAATTTATGGATGTAGTTTGACATATGGAGATGGGTAAGGAGTTCCTGAAGGAGGTAGCAGGAATGAAGAAGGATTTGTTGAAGGAAGTGGTTTTATGGCAGGGAATATATAAATCTATGGGTTGAGACCTGCCATTAAGAGAGTGGATAGACTGTTGGAGAGTGTGGACGACAGCATTGTTGTTTAATTTAGGAATGATTCTATTTCAATCATGACTCCACTGTAAAAGGAATTAGCTTTAGATTTCAACTGAACACGAGGCCTATTATACTCTTACTTACACAAATTATTTTTTCATGATTTTTTATATAATTGATATTATTTAGAAGTGCATAAGAATACTTTACTTTTAAATATAACTGAAAGTGAATTTGTTTTCTGGAAAATTGATTAATCTTCCAATGATTTAAAAAATATTAATGTTAATATTCTTAGGATCGGACATGGGGTATTACAGCAATTGTGGTTTTTCGTCACCTCCTTCCTTGCTGAACTACAAGCCCGCCTGGTCTAGATTCAGTAGCTTGAGCATCGATGGGCCATCTTTAGAAGAAAAGAAACCGGGCCATTGGGACCAAACTGATGCTGATGATGAATCAGATGCCAAGCCTAATCGGAACCCTAGGTAACTAAATATTATAAAATAATAGTAATAATGACATAATGTTTTAAAATAATAATATGTGATATTTTTAGTATCTATTTTTTCTATGGAATTAAATTAGTGAGACAATCCTAAAAAAGAATTATATAATAATTAAAAGATTCATTAACAATCATGAATTGTAATGCTTAAACTTATGTTAGATCATTATTTTATTAATCCTTAATCTAAATAATTATCAGTTTTAAAATTGTTAATATTAATTTATTTTTTTAGTTATTTGACACAAAATACAGCTATTGGACCGATGCCAGTTGCAAGAGACAGTGATGAATATTGTATGAATCACAGGAGCCGTGGATATGCTCATATCTTCAATCATGATGTGTTCGATAAAATGCCAGAGCGCAAAGGCTCAAGGTTAGATGTAGAGCAACTTGAAGCAACCTATAAATTGTTAGGTTTTGATGTTATAGTTCACGACAACCTAGATTTGAGCGGAATCACACAAGTCATTAGACAAAGTAAGGCTTTTTTTTATTTTATTTTATTTTTTATTTCTTAATGACATTTACAACTGTATTAAATAAATACTTCTAGTAAATTTGGACATAATGGATATAATGACATGAAAACACTTGCTGAGTAACTACCCAATGGTAGCACTCTAATGATATGACTACATTAGGAGATCTCGGGGCCATCTTCTTTTCAAACACCTCGAAGGGTTATCAGGAATTGAAGAGGAAGCAAGGTTAGAAACGAGAGGGTTGGAATGATTCTGAAGTTTATTATGGAAGGATAGGTATCTGGATTGGGCCAGATCTGAAACATAAGGAACATTAAGGTCTTTATGGATGATTTTATTAGTGACAAAGTAAGGAGCATTGAGGATTTTACGAAGGATTTTGGATTGTAAGGATTGGATGCGAGAGGAATTCGATGGTTTAGTGGAGCCCCATAGCTCAACTCTGTAAGTCCAAATAGGCCTTATTATAGTCAAGTATATGAGTCTTTTGTAATTTATGGGAAGTTTAGAGCGTTTGTCTAGTAAGTGCTGAAGTAATCGGAAACGTCGAGCGGTTTCTTGTCGTTTCAGTCTAGTATAAGGATTCCAAGTTAGTCGTTTGTCCAGGTGGAGTCCTAGGTATCGGATTTTTTCAACAGGGATAAGTGGAGTATTGTTAAAGGAAACTGTAGAACAGAAAGTCGTTGGTTTACGACGAAGGGTAAAGGTAATTTGATGGGATTTATTGGAGTTTATTTTAATTCTCCAGTTTTGACAGCATTCTTCAAGATTTATGATGTGTGATTGAAGCATTTAGGATGCAATTGATGGGTCATTATTTACTGATAGGATACATGTCCCATCGGCATATGTGGTGATGACAGTGTTGGGATAGGTAGGGATGTCAGCTGTATAAACTGTATAGAGGATAGGACTTAGGATACTACCTTGAGGAAAAGTAAGGCTTAAATTTCTATTGTTATATTCATTGGAAATTTTATATCTGAAATCAAGATAATTATTTATTTTAATTATTCGACTGAATTACATTTAGTGATAAAACAATTAAGCCTTAGTCACATTTTTATAATGTTTATCGACAACAAAGGGAGTGGGGTGGTTCAGTGGTAGGGCACTGAGCTTTCAATGCTCAATGTTCCAGGTTCGGATCCCGGCTCATGGTAGAAAAATTATTTATTCTGTTTCATTAGCCATGGGATGACCCTGAGTCTGGAAACCCTCCTGAGACACACCCAGACTCTATAAAGTGGGTACCCTTAATTAAATTTGAATTTATTTTTTGTAAACAGTTGTTATTAAGAGACATTGTCCTGGAATAAAGTTATTTTTTTATTCTAATATACATAGCTTATCAAGGATACTGATTTACGGTATTTATTTATTTTTTAAGGACAATATATTTTTAAATTGAGAGGACTAAAATGACTTATTACTTTATTCTACAAAAATAAGTGTACAAACTAATACAATCATTTAATTTTAAACCAAATTCTTTTAGTTTTATAGCCTAGTTATTGATCCATTAAAAAAAAAAAATTATTAATTATCTGTGGATTTAGACAATTATGTTATGTAATACTAACTTCAGTTTTCATATTTCAGTTGCCGATGAAGACCATTCAGACAGTGATTGTCTCTCCATTTCGATTTTGACACATGGCCAAGAACCGAATCTTCTGTATTCACGTGATTATATATATTCGTTTGATCTATTGTGGCAGTCTTTCACACCAGATAAATGTATTACGCTAGCTGGAAAACCGAAAGTGTTCTTCGTTCAGGTATTATTAATGAAATTATAAACAACTCTGTAAGGTAATAGTTACAGAACTTAATAATTACCAGAATACCTAAAGAACTCAAATAACAAATACAGATGATTGTGCTATTCAATTTATGTTGATTAATAAATAAATAATAACTGAAAGTTGAAGAGTATAAAGAATCTGTATGATTTGATTTCGGTATTATTTTGGTTCTTAAGTATTTGTAAACCAAAATCGCTTTAAGCAAGGGTTAGTCCTTGCTTATTTTAATAGTTTTTTCTTAAGCCCTCCAATTTTGTTCTATGTCTTATATTGTAAACATATATTATTTCTGTTTGTATACATTTCATAAAATATGACTTTGAATGATAAACAAGGAAAATAAGAAACAAGCAAAAAATACAAGTTAATTTTTTAAACTTAAACTAGACTGTAATAATCTAAGGAACGGCATCAATTCTTCAATGGTGTAAATATGAATTCCTATTAATCCAAATGTGTAAATCCTAAAAGGATCTATTTATAAATATCGTTATAATTAATTAATAATAAAATAAATTAGTAGCATAACTAATTATTAGTTAATCTTTTTTTTATTATTTTATTTTTAAAATTAATTTCTAAGAAATTTATCTCATAAATATAATTTAATATATTTGGAAATAACTTGCAGGCTTGTCGTGGACAAAAATTGGATTCAGGAATACATCTAGTAAAACGAGCTAGTACAGAGATTGATTCTGGATGCGACTCATACAAAATACCAAAAATGGCCGACTTTCTCATTGCTTACAGCACAGCTGAAGGTATAAAATTAGTATTTCATTTGAAAATACATCAATTTTACCATAAATATTTTTTGTCTAAAAATCAAATTTGTTATTTCACTAAATTTAATATTGAAATCAATTTATAAAATTGAAAACTTAATATTGTAAATATGTGAAATCACTTAAAGTATTTAATTTTTTTAAAAAGTTGTTGAAAAGTCCATCTTGCTGAATATGTTGGATTATTTCTAATTTTGAAGCCCAACAGGATTTATTTTATGAAAGATTATATAGTTTGTATGAAAAAGATGTATTAGTATTAAATTATTAATAACACTGTTTCTATCTAGGTTACTACTCATGGCGTAATCCTGAAAATGGTACTTGGTTTGTACAGTCTCTTTGTCGAGTTCTTCGAGAACATCATCTAACTAAAGATCTCTTACGCATGTTGACAATTGTCAGTCGCATTGTAGCTGTCGAGCACGAATCATATAATGATACTCGTTTGGATCGACACGCACAAAAGCAAGTTCCAAGTATCAGCAGTACTCTTATTAGAGATCTGTATTGGAAACCTAAAACCACGTGATTAGGTAAACACTTTTAATTGAAATATATAATAAATATTTGATTATACCTCTTATGATGTCAGTTGTGCTTTTGATTTAATATTTATGAGACATATAAAATTATGATCTAATTTTATTTCTCAAATGGTTAGTTTTCTTTATTATTATATTTATAAAAATCTTAATTTTTAAGCTCTAATAATATTTAAATCAACTTATTTCATTTTTTTTTCTAGAACCATAAACGAATAAAGAAGAGTCTTTCAGTAGAAGGTATTTGTATCTCTTATTTTTTCTTTTTTTTAACTGAAAAGATGGAAAGTTTCAAATATGAAATTTTCATTATACAATGAATTAATATTAATTTCTAGAAAATTCTTTTAGAAAATCTATCTAATGATTTCTTTTAAAATGTGCTCATTTATTATTCATGTATTTTTTCCTTTTTTTTTCAAACTGATTGTTATTTTTATATAAGATATAATTAATATTTTTTACTGAATTTTTATTTTAACATGATCTTATTATTCTATTAAAGGTTTTCTTATTATCAAATTCATTGTTATCATATCTCTTTATTATTTTTGTATTATGTATTATGATGTGTATTTTAGTTCAATTCGTATTTTCTTTATTGTAATACCGAATAATACATTCCCATGTTATTTGTATGTATTATTACCATTGTCTTTCATAAACTTTTTTTTTCAAACTTTGCAATGAACAAAAACATATATTTTTAATATATATGTAATTACGTTGTTATAGGAATACTATTTTGTAGAAAAAAAATATCTAAAAAAATATTAAAAATTTATAAATTGAGTTTAAGTAACTTGTTTCAATATACATTTCTAAATTTGTTTTTTTCAAGATTTATAATTCAAAACAGAAAACTGTTTTTGTAAATGCTCGAAACCGTCAATTTGTTTAATTTGGTTTTAATGTTTTTATCAATATATGTGTCTTTACCATTATCATCAGTTCATGTAAGCTTCATGAATTGAATTTATTGCCAGATTTTACTAAATAATTTTCTCATAAAGCTCATACCATGTATTTTCATTTTTAGAACTGGCCACCTTAACAAGTGATTGTTTGAGAATTTGCCATTATCTAACATCTCTGTGGCTTATTATTATTTTCAATAAAAAAGGAATATTCCATATTTTGTTGCGATATTTCTAACCATTTGCATGAGAATGATGAGATATGTAAACAAAAAATTCTTTCAGAATATTATATTATGTACAATCCTATTCTGTTCTGAAAGTTGTTCTATTTTGTATTTTCATACTTTCTTACATTTATGATTCAGAAATAATGATGATAATGTTTAATTTGAATAATTGGCTTATTATTAAATTTATAAAATTTTTGTTATTTTTTTCTCAAATGTTTGGTGCTGTTCTTTTTTGTTAACAACCTTCACATTGCCTATACTCGCTATCTTTTCACCCATGGCTTACCTGTTTTGGTCCTTTTGAGAAATAATTTATAAGGAAATAATGTGTGTTGATACATTTATAAAAACATATGATTTTGATTAAAAAAATTATATGATTTTTTTAAAGTTTGTTTCCTATCAAAATTGACTGATATCACTACAAATAAATTTTGTTCTTTTCAGAAAAATAGTAAAAGAGTCAAAATTATCCTTGCCATTTTATGTTTATTTCCTTATTTTGCAAAATTCATTCCCCCTCCCCTCCCCATAGCGGTTGTCAAGATCTATTGGTTTAAATAGTCGATGAAGTTAAAGAATCATTTTAGACACTACCAAATTGCTCGGTATTATTGTTGTTGGAACAGATCATAGCTATAGACTACTTCTTGGAATACTTGCTCTAGAAATTAACAAACACTCAAATGCAGAAGATATTGAACAAACAGATATATAATATAAAAAAAAATATCTGACAAATAAGGCAATATAAATCAGACAACAGCTGTTAAATCTATTGTTTAAAGGCGAAAACCCTCTGGTCATCATCAATGCCTTATTAAACTTATCGATAGGATAACAAAAAAGTGGTAATATTTGCTAATAGAATATTTAATGTGTCTAATCTTTGCTATATCAAGTAAAATAGAACAGTACCAAATAATAAATAAAAATAAGAGCATAATAGTTCAAAATTTATAATATTGATAATGTTGTTTTTTTATAAATATTTTCCTTTCTACATTATTGATTATCTAGTTATAAATTTTATTTTTTATATATATATTTTTTTGTATATTTAGCCAATATATAAACTTAAATGAATGTGTTAACCACATCAAAATAATTAGTTTATTAGTTTGTTTATAATGTCCTTATGAATATTTTATTGATTATATGTTTGGCATTTGAATATTTATCCTCAAACTGCCAGTATTTTGAGATCAGTTAGTGCTATATATTTGAATTAGTGTCATGTTTTTTTTTTAAATAGATAAGGGCATTAAAAACATAGTGAATGAAACTTTGATCTCGATTCTAGTGGAATTGAAAAAACTCTGTGATTCGAAATAATTTTTGATTAAACAAAATTACATTCAGCATGCTATATATATTATGATGCAAATGAAGCAGAAGGCGTTGGTGCATTAATTGCCTGAATTGCTTTTCCTTCGAATGTCATAAATATTTTCAATTTGTTTATGAAAAGCTTGTTGGAATTTTTTCTTAAGATCTCATAATGTCTTATATTTTTTTTTAATTAAAATTTTCTTAACTGTTATTTCTAGAAATATTGATTTTTATTATTATTTGTATGATATTTATTATTTTTAAGTGAAGTTCTGTTATGTTGCATTTGTGAAATCAAAAGTTATTTCTATTAATCATACGTTTTATATGTACTAATAATATTTGCTCATGTATGTTATAGCTTCAAAAATTAAGTGTTCAATTAATTCTTAATAACTTTTATTGAAATTACATCCCTTCTGACTGATGATGCCTTACATAGTTTTTTTTAGTGGTTTAGTGAATATGAGGCTAACATCAAAAGGATGTTTTCAATAAAATGTTTATAAATTCGATCTATATTTTTTGTCAGTAAAACTAGGCACAGTTTTGATTATGAAAAATTAAGGTTTCCATTCTGTTTCAATACTTGAATTAATATTTTAATAATGAAGAAAACAAAAAATGAAAATAAAAAATGTTATAGGAAATATGATGATCGACAACGATAAGCCTAAATACTTTAAATATAATACGGTAGCCAATAAGATGATGTTATTACGTGTTACCTAATCCTGTTAACTTTCTTTCCAATCTAAGCAATGCTTACAGGGTCTTCTTTAAAGAAATTGTTAACCAAATGAACCTTATGCTGGCCTTTGACACAGCAGTTGTGTCGGGTTCTTGTTTCCTGGTGGGATGTTGTCCCAACTTCGTTACTGGATGAATTAATACATACATTAAAAACCAAGGATTTTAAATTTAAAAACATCCTAATTCAATATTTTTATTCATATTCATTTTAGTTATTCGTTTTCCACTAAAATTAATTAATATCACTCAAAAGGATATTATTGAACCTTACGATTCATTGTACTGTACATGGCTATATAATAGTCTTCTATTTGCTGAATTTTGTTTGTTACATCAATTATAATATAATCCATTGATCCACATTATTTTAGGTTTAGATTGAGCAAAACTGTTGCCTACAACTCTCTCGATAAATTAACTGATCTTTTCAGTAGATTTTGGGTTTACCAATAACAGATAATATGCAATAGATATCTGATTGTAGATATTAGGTAATTATTATGGCTGTTGATTGCATATTAAAATAAATCAATACTGAAATATACATCAATATTATGCTAGGTAATGAAAACCATTTATCTTGTAAAATTTAATACCTGAGGTCATTTATTTTGTACAACTCATTTCTGGTGCAAATATTATATATCAGTATGCAAATAATAATGTAAATATTTTGGCCCTGTTGGCTCTATCTTTTTTTTTTTCTTCATCTGCTGTATCAAACTCTTTGTTGCTTTCTTTGTAAATTTCTTATTCATTATAAACCACAAGATATTAATGAAACTATTTATTAGAAGAAATATTGTATTTCTTTCAATATAAAACTATATTTTCGAATTATTTATTTATTAAACATGAACACTTAATTTTAGCTATCGCTGGTTTATGTTATGTTTGTTTGATGGAATATAAATCCTGTCAATTTAATAAATTGAACAAACTATTTGCTTTGTTGTTTTACTTATTACTGTTTTGAAAATATTTATGTCAAATTCATTACCAGCATGGCTTTTTTATTTCTATTAAAATTATTGCATGTTTTAATGCATATATTAATTGAATAATGATATTGATAAATTTGTCTTTCATATACACTGCCAACTATGTATATCTTCATTTTGTAAGTGTTTTAGATGTTTGATATTCAATTTATTTTTATGAGAACATGAGAAAAAAGACAATATTTGGTAATGTAGTAAATTTTTAAGAAACATAAAATTGTTTAACTAGTTAATTTTATTTTTAAAACTAATACATTGATCTTCATTTAAATAATAAATAAATTTTATCTTTACATTTATAAGTTAAATTGAATTGATCTTATACTTCTTTAAGTAAAATAACCAAGCCAATATTGCATTAGTTCATCTGTGTACTATTTATGTTGGCAATACTGCAATGGATATAGATGTAGTGTTTGTTTATGTTTAAATTAATATTTGGATTATTAATTATGTAATTTGGATCTCAAGTTTTTCTAATTGGTTTGTGCCATTGTTTGATGTTAATTTCAACATTATAAGTGAGTATATTAAATGATAATTAATCCAAGAAGTTTCATTTGATTGTTTTGGCAAAATAAAATTTAAAAAATCATTGTTTGTTAATGAAGCAGTTCTTAAAATCACATTTTCTTATATAGTTTCTTATATATATCATTGTATTTTTATATATGTATGGAAAAGGCTTTGTGGTTTATATTTCATTAACAAACATAAAATGTTATTGAGCTTTTTAAATGATCAATTATTTTATAAGAATTTCTTATATTATTGTATAAAATATTTGCTAATATATCTTTGTTTTTAAATATAAAATTATCTTGGAGGTCTGCTGAAATTCATTAATTGAATTAGATTGAAATTATTGTCAGACTTATGAGTGACTGATATTGTTCTTTCAATTTTTTACGGTTCGTAATTTTATTAAGTTTAATATATTATTCAAGTGCATACTTGTATTTTGTTTTAGTAATATTGTCAATAGCTCAATTTTTACTATTATTAGATGAATTTATATAGTTCTTTTTATGATGCAATAAATGTTTCGAATGATTTATGATTTTAATCTTCCATATCTTTGCTGAATTGAATGACTTGTTTCACACACATGTTTGTTTGCGTGTTGATATCTGCGATTGCTGATATCTTTATATTTATGATCGCTAAGAGCAGATATTTGCTGACAGGAATAAGTGGTAGCTTGTTTTGAATTATTATTAATTCCTTAAAATAATAATGATCAGATATTTTGCCAGAATTAATTGATATTTTCAAGAATTCAAGGCATTTATCAATGATCTACTTAAAATGTGTTACTATTGCCAAAAAATATGTGGATAGGATAATAAGCATTGGAAAATAAGTAAAAGGTTTTATTATAATTAAGAGTCAAAATTTTAGTCAAAGTTTTTTTTTTTTTTTATTAATTTATTGAATACATGCTAAAAGACTAGTTTTAAAATCCTAACATTAAACTAACTTATATTAGTTTTTCTTGGAGATATGTTACACTTCTATCTAAAACAAGGATATTTACATTAAAACACATATTAACTTATCATTTGTACAAGATAAAAGTTTCTTTCATTATTAACAATTATATTGAAATTTCAAACAACTTTGAATTTACTGCTGTAGTTATATTATTATTTGCCAAGGATCATCTTGGTAAACAATAATTACAACAGTTTTAATTATAGATAGTGCTGTTGAAATATAACTGCTCAATTCTTTCTGTAATTCTGCTTCTTCATTGAAATTTTGATTCGGTCATTGATCCAATTGATATAATGTAAAATATTGGTGTAAACACCAGGACTGTTTGACCTTCCGCAGCCGTGACCCCAGCTAGTGATACCAAACAGAGTGAACTGGCCTAAAATTATAAAATATCGTAGCTGTATTAAGAAATCCATACATTTTTAATAAAATTTTAAAAGAAAAAATCTTTTATATGTAAATAACACAGCCACTATCTATTGACAATAGGTAGTAATGCTAAACATTTATTACATATCTTATATACAAAGTATTTAAATAAATTACAAAACATATTCAAAAATTAATATAAATAAATAAAGTTAGTTGTAACTATACATAATCATAAAATTTACACACTGATTTAGAATTTTGGGGAGTGAGGTAGCACAGTGAGTAAGACACTGTATTCCAAGTGGATCTTAGGTTCAAGTTTGTCTGTTGTTGGAAATTATTTCTTATGTTACTTCACAGGTTGGATTAACAACTCCCTCTATGGCACACTCAGCCTCTATAAAGAGGGTGTTCTTAATTAAATAAGTACTAAAGATAAAATGGGAGCGGGGTAGCTCAGTGGTTGTGCACTGACTTTTCGAATCCGGCTAATTTTTCATCAGCCGTGGGTCGATCCTGAGGCTGGGAAACCCTCCTATGGCAAACCCAGCCTCTATAAAATGAGTACTCTTAATTAAATAATTAATTAAGAGGGAAAACCTGGCGGTTGAGCGTGATATTGTCCTTTCACCTCCCTTCACAACCTTCGGCCTAGTAACAGTATTTTCTCACATTGTACCGAACCCAAGACCCTTCACGATTTGTTAGTGGTACAGTTTATTTATTTATTTATCTTTTTTAATAAAGATAAAAAATTTGCTGAATGATATTTTGGTTAAATCAACTCTTTGCATAACCTTAGCCAAGAACCAAGAAAAAGTACTTTCTTATTAAGTACTGAACCCTAAATCCTAGGGTTGTAGTGGTACAGGTTTTGTTTTGTTCATGGGATCGAAGTAGATTCCAGTAACCTCCTCATATTTAATCTGTTGTTTTTTAATCGACTCAATAATTTAAAATTTATATTGTATATTAGTACTCCCCTCATGAATGTGAATGGTTTATTTAATAAAAAATATTTCAGTATAATAATGGATTGTAAAAGTTAACTTATAGAGGATGAATAAATGGCTGACTGAGAAAAAGTATAAAATTGAACAGACAATTTTTAGAAAGTAATCAATATTTAAATTTCTCCTTTGAAGAATTAGAATTTTTGGCTTAATACTTATTTACTGCTTTTAAGAACTGAAAATTTAAAAAAAAATTTAACAGGATTAAAAAATATTTTAAATATTCAAAATTTAAATTAATTTTTTTTTATAATCCAATTCCCTAAAAATTTAATCTTGACAAATTGTAACTTACAAAAATTTTATTTACATTTTGATTTAAAAAATAAATAAATAACACGAAAAGAGCTTCTCTTCTTCATTGAAAAAGTTGCTGAATCTAATATTTTTTAATATAAGAATTAATATCAAGAAAAGTTTGTTAGTGATTATTTATTGACAACTTTTCAACCTATAATAATAGTTTATATTTCTTTGATGATATGAGATTGTAGAGAATGACCATGCATCCACTCAAGAGGTAGGTTAAAATATAACTGTTGAAGTAAATAAATAGCATAATATAAAAAATAGTTTTTATTTGTCCCAAAATGATCTCAAAAATTTGAATTGCCAGTATTTACTGTATGTAGGTCAACTAACATTCAAACAACATTAAAATTAAAGCTCTCATTTTAAAATATTTTATTCAAAAGGAGCTATAATTAACACAAGAGTAATATCACATTTACTGGAAAATAGAAAATTATAAATAATTATTATAAAATATTTAATTACTTACTATTAACGGGACAAAGTAGTGGGCCACCAGAGTCTCCTTGGCATGAATCCGGACCTCCATCAAGGCTGAGGCTACCAGCACACATCATGCCAACGCTCAGGGAATTACCGTACGCATCTAATGCCCGGCACTGTTCGTATGAAATTGGTTTCAGCCAAGTTGCATGGAGGGTACGTGCAAAACCTTTTTCACAAACATAAATCTAAGCATTAATAACACTATATTGATGGAGATACAGTTGACTGTTAAAATAATATTTTTAATAATTTTTAAAATAATATTTTAAAAAATGTTATAAAATAATGGACTTGCATTATCAGGTAAATTAACTTTTGATTAAAAAAAATGAAAATTTAAATATTACCAGTTCCAGGATTGGCACTAGATCCCCATCCTGAGATGGTACAGTTTTCTGGGATAATAGGGTTATTCTGAGGCAAACAGGCTGGTAAGACCCAGGTGTTGAATTCGAATCCTTTACCCTTGATTTTTACGAGAGCTATGTCGTTATTTAGATTTACTCCTTTATTGAAACCAGAATGAATCCACATTTCATCTATTTCCATATCTTGTTCAGTGCCTTCATCATCCTAAGTTAATTAATAACAATAAAAAGAATAAAAAAGTTAATACATATTCCTAGCTATATTTATTAACTTATACTTTACAATTAATGTTACTAGACAGGCTGATTTTCGTGCCCTTAGGTCATGCATTGATCATATATTTACAATCACGCAATTAATTGAAAAGAAAAATTTCCGTAATAGTAAGGTGCAGATCATCTTCATAGATCTGCAAATATAGCGTTCCATTATGCAGACTATGGTAAACCTTAAAAAACATAGGGCTAAGAAATTATTTGAAAAATGCTATCAAAAGCTTGTATGATGTTGCTAGAGCGAGGATAAAACTCAGAAATGGACTAATAAACCACTTTTCTAATATAAAGGACTTAAACAAGGGTATTCCCTACCTCTACTGTTGTTCAATATTTACTTTGAAGTTTTAAAAATATGAAAGAAAAATACATGGGAATGTGAATTAAGATAGACGGCAGCATTATATTAAACAATTTAGTTGCTTGGCAATAATAACTTCCAATTATTAACAATTCGAGTATATTTTTAACGTTACATGTTAACAGTCTAGTTTACGTTTCGGGACCTTTTATTCCCATCTTCAGAACTGCAATTCCAATACTCTTGTGGATGCAAGGCTAAAAAATTTTTAAGTTACAATATTGTGCTTGTTACATTATATATTTGTATTATGTTTGTTACAATAAATTTGTAGTTACCTTAATTTTAACAATAATAATAATGTGCTATATCGTCAATTTTCTAATTTATGTTCTAAAATTTATCATCTAGAGCAACATCCTCCTTTTGACCAATAATTGGGTTTCTGCCATAGTGAAAATTTGACCTTTGGATCTAAATGTTTTATCTGACTATTTTGATTGTTGTTGTTAGTGTTTATTTTATGTGTCTGTGATTTCACTTCTATTAAATTTTAATTTTGTTCAATATGTCTGTTTAATGGGTTCCTAAATGTTTAGTGTCTGTTTTGTAGTTGAGTGTTGTTCTGTTGTTTTTTGTAATGTGTATTGTTTCAAGTAATTTTCTATTGGTGTTCTTTGGTTCTGTGCCTATTATCTATTTTCTAATACTAAAGGACTTAAACAAGGGTATTCCCTACCTCTACTGTTGTTCAATATTTACTTTGAAGTTTTAAAAATATGAAAGAAAAATGCATGGGGATGTGAATTAAGATAGACGGCAGCATTATATTAAACAAATTATTGACGACCAGGTAGTAGTAGCTAATGATGATGAAGATGCCAGCTACATGCTAAGGAAGCTCCTGGAGGAGTATACAGCATAGGGTCTATGAGTATACAGAGATGAAGAAAGAAACAACACAGTACGCAGAATTTAATAGAAATATAAAAGCCTTACCACCCTCAGGAAATTTGGAATCAGGAAGAACCGATGAATTTAAATTTCTTAGTAGATGGATAATTGAGGATGGAAGCTTCTCCAAGGATATCATGGAAAAAATGTGTAGTGGAACAAAATAGATTAGTCTTAAAACAAAAAAAAAGGCATGTCTCTTCCAACATGTTCTCAATTAAATGATTAGATAAAACATTCATAAAGAAAAATAACCCTATACAATAGAACATATTTTGGAAGAGTCCTCTTTTTAAACCGCAAGGTTAAAAGATCTCTGAATACCCCAGAATATATCAGCATCCCTGGGAAATCAAGAAGAAATCGTTACCAAAATTATCAAGTTCCTAGATAATAAAAAACTTATATGACATGTTTATAACTAATGATCCTTTGCATATTTATTATTACTATTTTTTTTTTTTTTAAAGTTCATTTGTTTATTAATTTCAATTCATTTATTGATTTTATTGCTATTTTTTTTAAATGTATTTATTTATCTATTCCATCTTATTATCTATAAGTGTCTATTATTATCTTTATTTATTTATTTTATTCTATCAATCCTTTTATTTATTTATTTTTTTTTTATTTTTATTTTTGTACCAACCATCCAAATAGTATAAAAGTAGTGTTATTTAGTTGATCGGGCTCTGATGACCTGGATGTTTTGTGCAACATCAAAACAAACAAACAAACCCTATTCAATATAGAAACAAAAAGGTTAAAAAGGTACCAGTGAAAAAGAGAACGATGGTTATAGAGCGTGGAGGAAGGCATTGCTGCCAGAGGTCTTCAAGAAGGAGACTGGTCAGGCTGAAAGATGGGACTGGATTTAAAAAAAAAATGTTAATAAAAACTTAATGTTAATAAAATGTTACTTGTATTAAAATTTCTTTTTATTACCTCATTATCGTAATCACCAGCTCTTATGAAATAAGCTGCTTTAGCGTAGTCTCTGAGGCAATGAGCAGCTGTTAATATGTGAAATCTTGAAATTACTACCGCACCGCACCAGTGTGTTGATTTTCCAGCTATGCCTTTCAGTCTTATACTTGCCTGTATAGATATATTTTATTATTCACAAAGGAGAGATACATTATAAAAGAAATTGTAGATAAAAGAATATGCCTAGGAAATAGGAAATAGTGTATAGGAAGTTGATGGGAAACGTAGAAAATTCTTGGTACCTTATTAAACATTTTACAAAGCTAATCATAATTTAAGAATGATTTCACCATTTTAGTTCAGGAAGAAGAAGCTTGTAATTAATAAGAAGATTCTCAAATTATTTAATAATTTTAAACAAACCAAAAATACATTTACCTGCCATGGATATGTTCCTTTTACAGTTTCGAACCCAGAAACAACTTTTGCTACAGGCTGATGTTTGATTGCTCCAAGCATATCTATGATAGTTCCACAGTCTGGAATAAATATATCTTCCAATAATACGTCTCCTGCCTCCATTTCGATGCCGTTTTCTTGGATAACTTGGTCTTTAGAGATGGGCTTCATCAAGACCCCCTTAAAAATAAATAATTACTTAGATGCATATGTAGTCTGTTGCACCAATATTTATTTAACATAATGCTTACAAAGGAAAACAAAATGAAGAAATGGAAGATATAATGAAAATTTACCTCACTATAAGCAGGTGGCAGGCAGGAAATGGCTACGTCTTCATTGTGTTTGCAGTTTGTTTGTCCCCAACCGTCCGACATGCACTGATGGATATTACTTTCGTTACCCAAGCAGTGAACTTGATCAAGCCATATGATTCCCTTACCTGCTCCGTAAGCTGCTTCTTTATAAACCTAATAATAAACCAATTAAACTAAGATTCTTGTTAACAAAATAAAAAAATTAATACATATTATTTTGATATTGTTACAAAAAATGATCCCGTTATGAAATTAAAATAAAATAGAACTACGGTAACCTCACATAAATATGAACCTATATCAAGTCATAATAATAATTAATAAATTTATTCAATAAAAGATTAATCTTTTAAACCTACAAATTTATTTCATCCATATTATATAATGTTTCGGTTTGTACGAGCCATTTTCAAACATTAAAAAAAATAACAGTCATAAACAACCAATTAAACAATTTTGTAGTATACTACTCTATTGATAGTAATTGTTCAATTAATATTATAAAAATTAGTTGCATTATTATTATTTCTATTTCACTAATACTTAAGCTTTTTTTTTCCTCATTTTGTTAAAAGCAGTTTTTCTGAAAATACATAAATTACCTATAGTGTCACAATTTAACAACTTATATAATAATTTTAAAAAATTATAATTTCATTAAAATTCTTTTTTTGGCAAAAATTTATTTCATCACAGAAATGGTATATAAGAAAAAAAATCTTTGATCTCCAGCCACAGTTTCATTATTCATCTCAAAAATAAATTATTGTCCCTTACAGACTGTAACTTATACTACTCCACTAAATTATTAAAGCGACCTCTAATGAGATTAATTTTGTTTACAGCTTTTAGGGAAAAAACACTGTCTATTTAGTTTTTTTAAATTTTCTTTATAATTTTGGTTTATATTTTCTGAATTATAAAAATTATATATATGGGAGTATTTTGGTCTTTCGTAAAACATAAATTTTTTATTGATTAAATTTAATAATTATACAAGATCCATAGAAATAAGGTTGTTTATCATTGTAATAATATTAAATATATTCCCTTTCATTAAATAGTTCAGATGCTGCAAAAATATAACCGTGGAAAAAATACTACCTGTCCAGTTCCGTTGAATCCAAGAGCTGCACAGACCACCTTCGCTTCTTGAGCACCGAAGTCATCATCGCATACGGTTCCCCATACCCCAAATCTTCTAACTTCTACTCTTCCTTCATTTGCTTTACTGCTCCTACTAACACCTCCAGTTCCGACTAAACGCACTTCAATTGGGGACTGTAAGATTTAAAAAATATATATATATATATATCTTTAAAATAAATAATATTTTTATATTATTAATAGAAACAGTTAAGGAATGTGAGATTCATAATATAAATAATCAATCACTTACTTCACATCTTTTTGGATCTTCATCGCTATGATCTTTGCAATCTTTGACATTGTCGCAAAGGAAATTAAGAGGTATGCATTCGGCAGTCTTCTCACACTGCCAATAGTTGAAACTGCATTCACTTTTTGCAACTTTGCAGACAACTCCGGCAGCCTTCAAACACTTAATTAAATCAATTATATTATACTGAAAATAATTTATCAATATTTCCTAATTACGTATTTTAAATTTTTATAAAAATTGTTAAAGAAATAACCATATTCCATTAATGTAATATAAATCAAAACTATATTGATCAGTTTAATATATCCAAAATCTTTCCTTTCATGAATAGTTAATAACATTAGCTTGAAAAATTATCAAAGTCCAATAAGAAAACTTGTGCATATTTAATAAAGTGTAAAATGCATGGGCAATATATAATTTAAAAGGTAATAAATAATTAATGTTATTCAAGGAATAATTCATATGAAAGTTAAACATATATAAGATTATACTGCCATGGTAAGTTTAGAAGCCCTTACTCCTTCCTTTTTTTTTTTTTCTTTTTTTTTGTAGTTTTTAGTCATTTTTTTTTTAAGGAAAGATTCCTGTTCACCTATAAACAAAATACAAACAACAAAACCCAAATTTCTTCAAAAAATTGTTAACACGCCTTATTATTTCAAATCACACTACCTCACGACAAATACACTACATTTCACCCTTCAACTCAAAATTACTTCAATCCCTCTCAATAAATTCCTCCCTCCCTGTAACCTAATCGACAAAGATTAAAAAGAAAGTGGCTGAGAGATCCTTCACCTATAACTAAGTAACTTATTCAATGAACAATAAATCAAGGCTCTTGCCAAGAAAAATTCAAATGAAATAAAAATTTGCAAGATGAGTATTAATTTACTGCACTGTAGAAAATATTGTAAAAGAATGAAAAAAAAGGTTTTTACATAGTTTCTAAATTGGTACTTTAAAAAAATACAATTTTTTAGATTTGATCCAAATCATTGGATTCAAGACTTTCTGCTATCAAAATAAATGTGTATTCTTTAGACAAATTTTGAAAACTTACAAAAATGAATTTAGATATCAAAATTAGAATGAGAGCCTTTTAAATTACAAGGGTATAGTAGTATAGGATATAGTTTAGTTTTAGAACTGAGTAAAGATTAACAATATATCTATGCTTAATTTTTATAATTTTATTTTCAAATTAATGGATCAATGCATATGTCAGCCTCATAAAAATCTGACTGATCAGCCAAGCGATCAAGTTCAGGATTTTATAATATGTCATTAAAACCAGTAATTATATATGCTGAGAAAACACATTAAATAGAACAGCTGTTTATAAACTGGACTTATTTGAAAGGAGGATTCCGAGAAGAATATTGGGGCTTAAGTGTGAATATGGTTCCCTTAACAAACAGTTATCTAAGGCAAATAATATCATCTCATCAAATTATATAAAAGTGCAGCGGCCAAAATGGCTGAGTTTCTGAAGATGCAGGAGAACAAAGGAAATTATGGTGGAGAAAAACTTAGTGGAAGATCAAGCATCCGGTGGAAGGACAATATGCAACAACAATATAAACAAGCAGATGGGAATAATTGTCATCTACTCTTAAGAAAGAATGAGATCAAGTCTCTCTGCAGTTGATCAAGTGAACAGAAAAACTACGTGCATCTGAAGAAATCACAAATTGAATAAAGATTAACAATATATATATATATATTGGTTTAAAGTTTTGTATGTATTTTTTCATTTGACATAGTATTATTACATATTTGGAAAAAAAAAAAAATGAAAAAAGATAATCAGTTCTTCCATAAGAGTTGGCTTGATATCAAATCTTTTCAAATATTTTATTTTTGCACTACAAGGTATAAATTTGATATTTCTAAATAAAAATAAATTGAAGAGTCGGTATAAAGTCTATTATTATATACTTTATTAATTCTTACCTCTTCGGCTTGACAATCGTGGACACCCCATCCGTTATGGAGACAATCGGCTATGGATGTTTCATTTCCCAAACAATGCAGATTGTCGATGATGAAACTCATTTTGTGATTTGTAGTGAAGAATGAATGTTTTTTTATTTCTGCTGCACCGAGGGGAAATCCAAGATGACGGCAAACAACATCTCCATCTTTTAGCTCAAATTCATCGTCACAGACTAAACCCCACTTGTCATGTGCTATTGAAATAAAACATAATAGAGATTCAGAAAGATATGGACCAATGAAAACAATTTATTTTCCTATTTTCGGGCTTCTTCCCGATAGCTTCCCCTTGGATCCATCAATGGTTTGAAGTGTTATTTTGCATTTTAATCGATTATTTTGTAAACACAATTTTTTTCTCCCAAAATCTCATGAAAAAAGTGATCTCCTCTTGTTTTGAAAGTGAAGTGAACAAAACTGAATAAAACTTAAAATTGAATCAAGAATTGAATAAAACTTAAATTTTTAATGGCTCAGAGATCTTTTGTAGTATATATCTTGGAGTTCTGACAATGGCCAGATTCTCCACTCAAAACATGAGTGTATGTGGCTGAAACGGTCTCGCTCAATCTCCACTGGCTTTAGCACCAGTGACGCGGTTGAGAGAGTAGCAGGGATCTCTTGGAGTTCTGCTTTTCCCTCTATAGTTGCAGGTACAAGCCTGGCTTGGGGCTTCCTACCTGATTGTGTATATTGTATATATGTATGACTGAGTTTTTATGCTTTTAATTTACTTATCTTTAGGTTATTTTATTTTTTATTGTACATAGTTGTTAGATTATTATTTAGTTATTATTTTACTTTTGTTAATATCTCACTATAATTATTGTCCAAGTGATAGATTATTATATTTCTAAATAAATAATAAAAAAAAATTAATGAAAGATTATTATACCACTCTGCTTAGTACAAACTTAAGATTAAAACAGATTTATGAAGAATTTAAACTTATACCTTTAACTTCAATTGTGCCTTCATTTGGCTTAGCACCACCGGTCAGTTTTAATTGAATTTTCTTTTTTAACCACGTGCAGTCTGCTTCATCGGAACGGTCTCCACAGTCGTCTCTTCCATTACAAACCTATTATGAAAAATAATATAACAAAAAGGAAAAATTCTAAAAAAACAAAAATATTAAAAAAACTTAAGTACTCACTGTTTCGTGTGAAATGCATTTTCCATTACCGCACACAAATGAGTTTTTACACTGAATAGATTTTGATTTCACTTCGTAATAATCCCAACCAGGTGCTTTGGTTCTATTACCTGATAACCCAATATTACTTTCGCTCAGAACACATTCTTCTTGATTAACTCTAAATGAAATTACCGTAATGTAATTAATTGAAAAAATAAATTGTCGAATAAAACCATAAAATATCACTCACAGAAAAGAAAATGATCTGCAGTTGATCAGTTCTAGACATCTTTGAGCACAAGCATTAAGTGGAGTTCTGATGAAAACTTCAACATCTGATACGATCAGTTTCGAGTTCTCGAAAATAGAAAATTGGGACGATATAACTTGACAATTATTTTCATCCTCAGAGTCAGAGCAATCCTGAAAATAAATTTTTAATTAACTTCCATAAAATTTATCAACTCTCCAAAAATTAAGAAAAAACTGGTGTTAATTAAGTTCTAAATATTAATTGTTATGTCAATAAATGGTATAATTAAAACCAATTTACTTACAGACTGCCCATCACAAACTTGTGATGTTGGAATACATTTTCCACTGAGACCACAAGCGAAATAATTAGGAGGACATTGAAAATATCTTGCAGATTTTTCTACACCTGAAAAAGAAAGTTGATATCAATATTTAAACAAAAATTATTCTCTGAATTTACTATTCTATTATCTATTATTTTATTTTATTATTTTCTATTTTATTTATTCTAATTTTACAGAAATTAAAGCAAGTGCGCATATGAATTACATTGATTTCAGAGAAATGCTTTTTGGAGATATCAGTTTTTTTCTCCCATATCCGAAATTTATATAAGGAAACAATGATAATCACATTTTATCTATTTTACAATAAAAAATTAGAGAAACATATTATGACCTTTGTGAAGTACCATATCCCTGGCGCTCATTTTATTTATTTTTTTGTTTATTTATATATTTTATTAAAACCTAAACGATAACGTGAAAATAATATATTGTTTTTAATTTGGTAATAACTACTTTAATGACTTATTATTATTAAATAACTATTGTACCTTCTGCACATATAGGAATATCGCATAGCTCTTTCTTTACAAGCGTAGTGGTTTCTCTTACGTAACACCATGGATGAGTTTCTTTACCTGCTACGTTGCGACAATAGTTATGCCCTGATAAACTAACTCTATAATAAAATAAAAAGAGAAGAGACAATTATTAATAAATTATTCTGAAAAAGTCTAATACAAAAAAAATTGAGTTAAAATCATAGCATACTTTCTATCGGATTCTGAAATTCTATACTTCAATTCCGGAAGGACGTCTTTGTGGTCCCATGAAAGACAGATATTACCCGCTTTAGTGACATTGGCACCACCCTTGTATCCGGTACCCGTACCCATAACACAACCTGTGGTTTAAAAGATTCAATTTAATTAATTATTAATAGGTTTTTAATATAAAATTTTTCAGGTAAATTCCATTACTAAAAAAAAAAAAAGTATGGAATATATATTACCAATTTTATTGGCAGGTCTTTCGCAAACATAAGGAAGACTAGTGGGCATGGCATCACAATCCTCCACGTCCCAATAATAGTATTGGGCATCGCAAAGTCGATCTTCGGAACCTTTCGAGTCCTTGCAAGGGAAATATCTTCTTAAAACGATGCAGAGTGCTCGGCCAGTGTACGTTTGAGGTGGTATAGACTTTGCACCACTCCAGCCTGAAAAAATAAATAACTTTAAAAGGGATGGTAATATATATGCTAAAGTACACAGACACTTGATCAAATGATTTTTAAATGATTGTTTATAATTATTTTTATGTATTGTATCATAGAGTAGAACAACAAAATAATTTAATTCTAAGACATTACGCCTTAACACATAATTTGCCTAATAATTTTTTACATCGCCATTCACAAAATACTGGCATCTCTTGATAAAAATTAGAATTTAATTTATTTAAAATTAAAACATTTCTTTATTGAGTAATATTACATTCTGTCATATACAAGAAATCTAGCGATAATGATAGAGTAGCTCAATTTAGAATTAAAACAGCAAGAATCAATTATTTTCTGTAAATATACAAATGACGAATTTTCATCATCGTTTGCGAAATGACAAATTTTTTGTTATGCAGACAACTATGCATTAAGAATAACAGCTATGTACAGAAAGATAAAGATAATTTTTCTAACCAAAAGACCAAATATATTGAATAAATAAAAAGAAAAAAACATTAGATTAGCACGAATATTCATAACAAATGAGGAATAGTAAAAATGATTTCATCCAGAGAGAAAAAAATAAATAAAGTTCCTCACATAGGCAGGCATAAAATCACAATCATTTAAAAATAAATTATTTGGGGTCCCACCAACAAATCTAAGAAATTGCATTGCTAATACTGTGCATTGTACTGTTAATGCATTGTACTATATTCATTGAACATACCAAATCTCCATTTCTCCAGTTGCCTCCAGATATCAGCAATCAATTATCTCTTTTTGATCTTAATCAATAATAAAAAAAGTAAAATACTTTTACTTTAACTTTGCTACTGCTATTTTGTATGTCCCAGCTTTGTTACCGTCACTTCATCCTGCCTTAATTTATGTATCGTATATTTGCCACATATTTATTAATGTAAAGTTTAACCACCCACATATTATTTGACTATTACTATCTACTTTTTTCTTAATATTTATATATTATCTTCTCTTTGCTTATTCTTGATGAAGGCCATAAACTTAGGCTGAAACGTTGGCATATAGGAAATAAAAATAAATATAATTTATTTATTATAACTTTATATTTTCATTGAATGGACACACTAACCTAATTCTCTACAATACATTAAACTTTTTGTCATTACCTGGCCACCAGTTGTGATAAGTGAATGTACTTTCACTGCCTTCCCAAATCCAAATTGAGCCGCCCATAAGAGACATACCAACACCAGAAGTCATGATATTACCGTCTATATTCTGCCTGATCAGCCATTCAGATACAAAGTCATTTTCAACCTTTAAAAAAATAAATCAGTACAAAATGATTTTTCTCCCATAAATTTTATTCTGCTACATACACATTATTATAAGCTATCATTTATATATTTTTAAAAATGACCTGTGATGTAATGTCTACAAGATGACCTCCTTTTTTCTGACAATACGAAAGAGCTTCTCCCTGCGTGAAGCCAACAAGATTTTCAGTTGCTGTTTCTTCACTTGGTGTAACAATAGAGTAACAACGATCCCCAAGAGACATTTCTCCGGGATAGCACCTCGACAGGCCATGACTATAGCAACGTACCCAGACTCCATCTTTGGTTGGGTCACATCCGTCACCTACAGAGAAAGGTTTTTGAAATATATAAATTAAATAATAAAATGGGTACTTGAAGGGAAAAAAAAACTTTTAAATTTGAACTGTAATATAATTTAAATGATAAAGAATACATAGATAGATAGATAGAAAAATAACTTTATTCTGGGACACAATCCCTTGAGAATAACAAAATAGAATAAAATTAAAAGATTACATCTGGCCACAATAAAATCAATCGAAAAAAAGAAATAATGTAAAGAAAATATAAGGTAAACATTCTATATATGCACAATTAATACTATGACAAGACACTTAAAGCTATTTGCACTGATAGACCAGTATACACTTATAAGGAAATAATAAAGAATTAAAAAATAAAAATATATCAAATTCTCTAATCAGAGATTAGATTAAAATCAGCTCGAATGGTTAGCAACTATCTGATTGTTTTTGGGATAGGAATTGGAATAGGAGGGTTTTGAATGTGGATATGGATGGTGAATGTCGCATTTCGATAGGGAGGGAATTTCAGAAATTGACAGAGTGAACAATAAAGGAATTTTGGAATGAGGCATATCTGTGAGAAGGCATGTAAAGGTTAGAAGGTCGAGATCTTGTGGACAGGGAATGGACTGAGGATTTGAACTGGAGAAGGTTGTAGGCGTAAGAAGGACGATGGCTGTTGATGATTTGGTAGAGGAACGTACCTAGGAAATATTGTCTTCGGAAGGAGGGAAAAAGCCACTTTAACTCAGCGTAGTGGTGAGAAACATGGGTGTATCTTGGGGCCCCGATCACAAATCTTATGCAGCTCTAACATGATACTGTCAAACCTCTCTTTAATTTATTAAAATTCATTAATTTATGACAAACAACCTCCTTTAGGTTATTTATAACTTATGAAATTTTTCAAAATAATTATTATATTTAATCAATATGAGATTATTTTTTAATAAACCTCTTTTTAATCTCACAGTCCTTTATTAAAATTTTAAAACATTATTAAAATATTAAACAAATTATTATTTCTTAACGTTTCGGATCCAAGAGCCATTTTCAAAAATTCTTTTTTAAGAAAACATAAATATTAGTTTTATTAAAATAACATTATTACTAATTTTTTTTCCTTAAAATATATTCATATATAGAAAACTACTCTATGGTAGTACTTGTTTTATTATATATTAGATGCTTTGCTTTCTTTTTCTTCTGAAAATTCACAAATTTTCTCCTCTTTTTATCATTTTATCAAAACTTGATCAATGTTATTTAACACTACTTTTTAACATAATAATCTAAAACAAACTTTCTTTTATAAAAAATAAAGTCACTATATCACTTTATAAATCTTTTTTTGGGCAAAATTTATTTCATTACTGAAAAACATGACAAAAACCAAAATTAAAATGAGAAATAAAAAACCTTTTTACCTTATTTATAAAAAAAATAATCTTATATAGATTAAATATAATAACTCATTAATTAATTTTAATTCACCTTATACATTGTAATCTTTCATTAACATCTCATTATTTATTTTAATTTTTCATTAAAATTAGCATACACACACAATTTTGACTAATCATAAACATTTATCTGTATTATCACATTGTTTTTTATCTTCTTATTTTTTTGTTACACTCTTTTTATTTTCATTTTCTTCCTGGTTGTTATTTGTTTTTTATTAGTCCAGATAAATGGCTAAAAGGTTGGCACATATTAAGATGAGTTTACTTTGGTGTGTTTTAATCATTACTGACCGCATACCCAACCAATCTAAAATAATATGGGAGAAAATAAGTGATGACTTTTTTGTTGGATTTGGCCGAATTGAATACTCACCAACAGATAATGTACAATCAAGTAGTGAATCCTCCGAACCGGTACAAACGACAACGTCTGTAGCAAGAATACTTGAAGTTATATTTTTTACATCAGCAGGTAAACCTTGCCAGCTTAGTTCAGCACCTCTTAAAACATACAAAAATATTCAGATATCATAATATTACAATTATAAGTATAAATAACTCTTTATTATTATTAATGGTGTAGAGACGGTTGACCGTTATTATGAGAAGGAGTTGGTTGGGGGTGCCATCAAATAAATAAACTAGAATAGTATTTTATTAGTTTCGCCAATTTTTCGATCCAGTTTGTAGATCTTCATCAGAGCTACAAAAGATAAAAAATATAAAAGGTACATAGCTAATAAAATAAATGAATTATTAGCAAATATTAAATAAGAAACAGTTGTCTGATAAAAAATAATAAGATGGCATCTGAGATATAGCGGGTGATAGTGTAGTTAAAATATTTCAATTAAACTATCACCCGCTATATCTCAGATGCCATCTTATTATTTCTTTAGTAGACAACTGTTTCTTATTTAATATCTACTAATAATTTATTTATTTTATTTTAACTATGTACCTTTTATATTTTTTATGTTTTGCAGCCCTGATAAAGTGGGTCAAAATGTCAGCAAAACTAATAAAATACTATTTTAGTTTATAGTATTTATTTTATCGTTTCCCTGACCAACTGCTTCTTTATTAATAGTGATATAACATTATCATGGATAGATTTATTACCTTGGATAGCCCAAACTTCTGCAAACAACATGAGCTTCTTCAATTTTCCAGTCATTTCGTTTATCGCAGACGACACCCCACGATCCAGTGGATAATTGCATTTCTACAAAGCCTTCAAACTGTGATGGGCTTCCTCGTAAACGTATGATCTGCTTGTCAAGAGTTGAATTTCTTTTGGAGATCAACCTAGCTTTAGGAGCAGGTGGAGTTTCCGGCTTGAAAGACTGTTTTGGAGTATTTTCATTCTTTTTATCAGTGATAAAGTTCTGTTGAGGCGAAGATTCGATCCTTATTTTAGGTACAATTGAAAGAGTTTCCACTGGTTTTTCTGTTGTTGTTGTAAATTTATTTGTTGTCTTAGAAACTGTACTAGTTAATTTTACAACAGTTTTATTATAATTAATTAATAAATCAGTGATATTATCTATCGCATCAATTATTGCTGTATCATCCGGCTCTGTTAAATCGAAAATACATCATATTAATATTTCACATTATAATTCAAAATTAACTTAATTCAGATCTAAAATTAGAATAATTACCAATGTTTTCGGGTGGTAATGTTGCAGAACGATAAATATGTACTTCTGAGTTTGTTTCTGACGGCTGTAAATTTTCATCCTCAACAAAAACTTCTTTTTTATTATTATTATTATCACATTTGACATTATGTATATGGTCACAAATCAAAAGTTCAGGATTGAATCTGAATCAAAGTAAACACAAATTGATGAACTATATTAAATAAAAAATGTTTATTGTCACATAACATTTAATAATTATTTTTATATAAATCATTACACTATTAATATTGCTTATGGAGAAACAACCCATAGATAACATCCAATTAACCATTTTATGGCTGGCAGGACTTTCTTTACAAAAACTTCACAGAATTATCGAGAGCAGGTTGTGAAGAAATTATACACAATACGGAAGATAGTCCGGGGTGGCGGTCATAAATAGACTAAATAGTGCCAAAACTATTTAGTTAAAAGCCAACGTTTCAACCCAACTTTACCAGTCTTCTTCAGGGAGGTGTGTTCAGCAAGGAGTTTCACTTAGAACTGCTTTAGTTTAAAAAAAAATTATATTTATATATACCCATACAAATTCGTTTTCAAGTTGGGATACACTTGTTTAATAAAGATTTATATCTTTTCACACTTATTTATTTGGTTTATAGTCAGATCAATAACAATCAAATTAGTATAAATAAAATATAGAGAATAAAGATATAGAGATATTTTAATATTTTATTTAACACAGTTGCAACGACCAACAATTTCTGGTAGTCTAAAAGATATAAAGAATAAAGGTCAAAACTGAATAAGTGAAAAGATTAATGTATTTATTGAATTTTTAATATTTTATTTAACACAGTTGCAATACCCAAAAATTTCTGGTAGTCTGAATACCCACCCCATGTAACAATTAGTTTGTATTGCACTGTAGGGGGATTTGTTTGGAGAGAACATCTCCATAGTGGATTTTAAGGACTTGGTGGACATCTGTTAGGATTCTTAGAAGTTAAAACAAAATTCATATTCTGTATGTTTAAATAATCTATAAAAATAGGTAATTAATATACAATACCTTGTTCCTGGACTGCAGTCCATAACAAAAGATCTACCATGAGAACAACTTAAAAACTTTGTGCAGTCAGAATGCGCCGTTAGACCGCTGAAACCTTCAGGACAAACATCCTTTGGTGCATCGTATGCCTCAGTTGTTGTTTGGTACGGTTCAGGGTTATAAACTGATTTGGGTTGATTCCAATCAGTGTTAGAAGGGTATGAGTAGTTGCTTTCTGGTTCAACTACAGGTTTTACAGGAGGGGAAAAAATTGCCGGGACTATTGGTTTTGGCTCGACAGAACCTGGATATTGTTGGCCATAATAACCTTGATTATAATTAGTATTCAAATTTGCTTCAGTGTGTTTTTGTTGATCTGGGAAAACGAACGAGTTGTATCCTTCTTTTACTTGTGGTGGTTCTTGGGAATAATTGGGTTGCGGTTGGGCATAAGTAGGATAATAGTTGGGATATGATTTTCCAATAGGACTAATTGGGGTCTTTGTGTAAAAGACTTGCTTTGGTTCAGCGGGTTGATAGCTGTTAAGATTAGGCGAAGGTACTGGAGGGGCACTGTGTGCACCTGAAGAGTACACTCCCGACGAGTACTGGTTGTTAGAGGGTTGTTGACTGCATGGCTCTTGGTAACATGGTCTTGCATAAACCACAGGCTGGGCGGGTACAGCCGGCATGCTGTAATGAGGATTCTGGTAATAAATTGGTTGTTGAGGGGGTTCCAATCGGTAAGATGGGGGCTGAACCCCAGCATGCTGGTATGTGTATGTCTTAGCACTCTTTTCAATTGGTTGTTGGTCTAAAAGAATAAAATATAACATTTATAATACATATATAAATACAATAAATCTTAAACATGATATTTTAAAAATATGTTAATTGATTAATAATAAATAGATAGAATCCTTTCTTTCATTCCTATATGTAGTTACACACACACATACATATATAAACATAAGTAACTGATATTAAATATTTTTCTTTTATAAATAAATAATTCCATATGCTAAATACTTTCATACAATTTTAATCTGTCAAATATTGTTCCTTACAATAAGAATGAGTGCAAAAACGAATACTGTTTGTTTTTACTGCATTGGGTGTGGTAATTAAATAGCAGAAGAAAAAAAAAAAAAAAGAGTTCACAAAAGACACTTTAGAAAAGTATTTTTATATTCGTAAATAAACATTACACCCTTTCAAGCTTTACTATATTTATTTTCATTTCATATTTGTAAATATCACATTTATGCCTGGTATTAGGAAAATGTGGTATAAAAAGAATTGGAGGCGGATACAAGAGAACAGCATGGTGGTCAGATGAAGTTAAAAAGATAATAGGAGAAAAGAAGAAACTCTGGACAGAATACCTGGAGCACAAAACACCGGAGAAATTCGAAAAGTACAAGCGGAAAAGGATTGAGGCCAAAAATAAAGTTATAGAGGCCAATAGGACCTGGGCAGATTTTGGACGAAAATTGGAATCGGATTTCTACCAAAATCAAAAGCTATTTTTCGGAGTCCTCAAAGGATTAAGAAAGGAAAGATCGCCAATCCTGAAATTCGTCAAAGACAAGGAAGAAAACATTCTCAGGCAGAAGGATGAGATAATGGAAAGGTGGAAGGAATACTTCCAAGATCTGTTGAATGAAAATGGACAGACATCCTGTGTAGATGAAGAGACAAGAAATCCTTGGGAAGAAGAAGACTTTATTGGCGATGACGAATTGGAAAAAAAAATATATTTAAGATCATACTTAGGATTTTTAGTAAGATCAAAAGATTTTAACTGAAAATTTGAAACAATTCGAATTTTTCCCAATACCACTTAAACATCACTTTGGTTCCTTTCTTTTCCCACAGAGTAATTACCATAATATATAAACAAATAAAATAAAACCACCGCAACCAGTAATTAAATCCTTAATCCCCAACTGTCTCACACTAAAGTGAGTACTTAGTTTTAATATTTTTGAATACATAAGTCCATATTTAAGTAATCAGTACAAACAATATAAAGAGCGGCCGATCAATGTAACTGGTTACATCATGAATGTAAGATAATATTGTTTTTCCGAAATCTAGGAATAGAAATTCAATTCTGAGACGGCTATCCGGGTAAAGGAAATATACGCTCACTCAATAGAGATAAGAAAATTCTTAAAAATTAATTGCGTCCGGAATGGTATCAGCAAGGACATTGTTTGCATAGTAAATAACATATGCATACAATATATCATCATACAGACAGAACACATGTCTTAAATGTTTCATTTCCTTCCTGACATAAAAATTTCGGGAAATTAGTGAACTAGGAATTCAGAGATATTTTCTTTTCTTAGAAATGTTACCATATCGTTCAGTACACAAGAAAAAATAGAACATAAAAACTGTCATGTGCGTGTTTTCTTGAATAATAGTTAACGTTAAGCGTGATATATCTTTTAAACAACTACTATAGGTTTAAATTATGGATATTTTTATATGAATTTAGTAGTTTTTTTTTTTTTTTTGTATGAGGTCTTGTTCTGGAAATAATTTGAGTTATGAAGTAAATGAGATCAATGAAACTCAAACCACGGGCGGGTCTACAGGGAGAGGCTTTGGGGCTGAAGCCCCTCACCAAAATGATAAAATATAACCATGTTTTGTGGAAAAAAATATGAACAAATTATCTCTTAAAGTATTATTGTTCGTGTAATTACATTTAAAAGGACTTTAGGAATCACTTAAACGCCATTTCATATAGGTAGTTAGTTTCTTTCTTTTTTTCCAGAGTAATTATCGTTATTTTTCTGAAAAAAATGCTTTCTGGCTGAAGCCCCCCCCCCCAAAATTAAATCCTGGATCCGCTAGTGACTCAAACCACCAAAAACTATAATATTCATCTACACACCATAACAAACTAACAATGAATCACATAGTTTTGAAGAGAGAGAAATACGTTATTTAAAGCAGTGCTGCCCTACTATATAGGGTTATATCGATACACAGCATACTCATCAATATTTTTTTTTTGGGCATAGCACTTAATTACTTAATTATACTTGAATTTTTATATATATACAAATTCTTTTTTATATTACACAGCACAAACAATACCATTACTTCAATATACTAATACACATGATTACAATTATACAATATATGATATATACATATTTCGGTGAAACTGATACAAGACAATCGCTGAAATTTATAGGGATAAAAAAAAAGTTTATTTTTTATTTGTATTAGAGTGTTACCATTGGGTAGTTACTCAGCAAGTGTACTCATGTCATTATATCTATTATGTCCAAACTTACTAGATGTATTTATTTAATACAGTTGTAAATGTCGTTAAGAAATAAAAAAAAAAACAATTTTTATTTGTCAACCTACCCACCCCTGGGGCCATATTTTTGTGGGGAGAAGATCAATTTAGTGGGACTTAACTAGGGAAACTGGTCATAACATGGGACAAACTATCGCAAGTTTAATTTAATATAAACTGCAATTATTAAAATACACTTTAACCGTTTTTAAGAAGAGAGTAGTAATAATTTCTTAGGATATGATAATTTTTGGGAGATGGGTATGTGCCATCGTCTTTAGCACTAACGGATCCAGGATTTAATTTTGGGGGGGGGCATCAGCCCGAAAGATTTTTTTTTTTATAAATATATTAGGATTATGACTTCGGAAGAAAGAAACTAACTAGCTATATGAAATGGTCTTTAAGTGATTGTTGAAGTCCTATTAACTGTAATTATACGAACAAAACGAAAGCTCCCCCCCTTCCCCTGTTGATCCGTCTGTTAGAAGGAGGAGGGGGCACATTTACACCTAAATGTAAACACACACACACACACTCGATACAATAGAATATTTCTTTCTAACAATAAACAAATAGTTCAAGTGCAAGCAAATTGCAGAATAGAGGAGAGGGAGGAGTGGACTGGAAGCAGATAATTTGGAATTGTACATACAGGAGCAGAAGGGCGGAACCCTGAGGTTTATTCTTAACTTCGGTAAATAAAACATTTTTCGTTTCTTTATTAATCATTTTATATAACTTGCCTTTGGGATATGTTTAATATAACAGCACATACCGAAAAATATCGTATTTAACGCACGATCTATGCTTTGGTATACTCTTCACAGCTTATTATCATTTAAGGTATTCAGGCGTCACACAGATAACGTCTGAACATTGGCCAAATCTCAATGATCCGAAAAATAGCCGCAGACGTTTCATTTTGATTGAGAGGGGGGATGGAAAAAAATAAAACAAAAAAAATGGCGGGATTTTATAAAACATCGAAATAATTATTTTATTTGTTATATAAATTAGGCCACTATTCACCAACATTTTATTTATTAGCTATTTTATTACGGCGTTTCGACCATCATTAGGGCCATTTTCAAGTCTTAATGAGTCCTCCATTAGATATTCATTATTAATGTCGTATTAATTTGTTCAGTGAAAAATTAAGCTATTTAAAAGTTTTCCCTATTTAAGTTGGAGGGTCCATCCAGAAATGACGTAGGGGAAACTCTTAACTAGAAGGACAATTTAATTTTTCACTGAACAAATTAATACGACATTAATAACGAATATCTAATGGAGGACTCATTTAGACTTGAAAATGGCCCTAGTGATGATCGAAACGCCGTAATAAAACAGCTAATAAATAAAATGTCGGTAAATAATGGCCTAATTTATATAACAAATAAAACCTCAAGACACCAATTTTAGGAATAATGAACAGAAGAAATAATTATTGTGAAACGAACAAAAATATTTAATTTGTTTTTTTGGATATCTTTGAAAATATCTGAACAAAATAACAAAATATATTACATATTTGTATATAATGAACATGGGACAGAGAAACATCCTCCATAACATATGTACATAGGTACATTTCTAGAACATTTTCAGTTAAAAATGAATAACGTTTTAAACTAAAACTAACATTTTTGATTCCTTAGTTAAATAGGTGAGATCTAGGCTTTAGGAAAGCCATCTAGTTAACATTTCGTATTATCTTACTCGATTTTAATTTATATATTTTATTCATTCATGTATATTATCTTTTATTAATTTTAATTTTTTTTTTTACTTCGAATTTTGGAGGATGGGGGTTAAACGACATTCTCATCTCTTCAAAATATTTATTGTGGGGGGGGGGGGGAGGGAGTTAAAAACGATGGCACTCTCTCGCCTCCTCGAAGTCTGCACCCCTGGTCGAGCACTGCGAAGTATTATTGGACACTTTGCCATGGATATAGCCGTGCCTGTAGACTAAATATGACGATTTCTGAAAATCATGTGGTCTTATTCTTTTGACGTAAATTTTCACACTCATAAAGAACAATAAGGAGCTTCCTATATTCTGACTTTAGGCGTTTGATAGAGTCTGGCATCCGGGACTGATGTACAAACTCCGTGAATTCCTACCACCTACATACTTCCTCATTATCCATTCCTACCTTACTGACAGATACTTCAAAGTCAATCATAACAATGCTTATTCATCTCTTTTTACTCAGTCTGCCGGTGTTCCTCAAGGTAGTATCCTAGGTCCTATCCTTTACACAGTTTATACAGCTGACATCCCAGGACTCCAACCCAATCCAACACTGTCATCACCACTGATGCCGATGACACGTGTATCCTATCAGTTAATAACGATCCTTTAATTGCATCCCAAACTCTTCAATCACATATCACAAGCCTTGAAGAATGGTGTAAAAATTGGAGAATAAAAATAAATTCCAACAAATCCCATCAAATCACCTTTACCCTCCGTCGTAAACCTATGACCTCTTGTCCTACAGTATCCTTCAATAATACTCCACTTATTCCTGTTGAGCAAATCCGCTACTTAGGACTCCACCTTGACAAACGACTCACTTGGAACCCCCATACCAGACTGAAACGACTAGAAACTGCCCGACGTTTTCGACTACTGCAGCACTTACAAACGATCTAAGCTTTCAATCAATTATAAACGACTCGTATATATGACAATAATAAGACCTATTTGGACTTACGGAATTGAGCTTTGGGGCTCCACTAAACCATCGAATTCCTCTCGTATCCAATCCTTACAATCCAAAATCCTTCGTAAAATCCTCAACGCTCCTTACTTTGTCACAAATAAAATCATCCATAAAGACCTTAATGTTCCATATGTTTCCGATCTGGCCCAATCCAGATACCTTTCCTTCCATAACAAACTGAAGAACCATCCGAATCCTCTCGTTTCAAACCTTGCTACCTCCTCGATCCCAGATAACCCTCCGAGGCGTCTGAAAAGAAGATGGCCTTGGGATCTTCTAATATAGAACTTTAATTTGAGTTCTACCAATGGGTAGTTTCTCTTCATGTTGTACATGCCATGTTACCAATTTCTCATTTACTTGTTGTATTTACTATGTAATACAGTTGTAAATTCCATTAAAATAATATAAAAAAAAAAAAAATATTCTGACTTTCAGTTTTTCCACTTTCACCTTGTTCTTATTTATATTTGAAAACTTAGAAAAATAAAATATATTTTTAAAAAAATGTCTGCTCTCACTTGGATAAGGCTGGGGCTGATTGTGATATTGTCTGCTCTCACTTGGATTGGTTTGCGGATGATTGTGGGGTTGATATTGCCAGCCATAGTGTTGATGACCGGACCACTGACCTCCAGTATCTACATTGCCACCTAAATATAAATATAATTATTAAATATTCAAATACAATATATAGTATCACTAATTATTTAACATTGAACGTATGACCCTCAACCACTAATTGCGAATGCTACGTTCCCTGTTTATAACATGCTCAAAATTAGAACAAATACATCTAATTGCGTATAACATACCAAACAAATTTGGAAATTTTAAGATTTTTCTCTTATAACATTTTGGTTTATAAGGAAAGTGTTAATAAGTTTGATAGGTTATAACCATCATAATTCAATTTAGATTTTCTTCCTCTTTTTTTAAAATTTCCTTTTGTTGATCAATTCAATTTTTTTTTTTTTGGAGATAGATATACATGGTATTCTGTTAGCAGGAAGAAATATTTATAAGACATGACAGATCCAAAGAGCTATCGAAGATTCGATGCCGACACCACCAATCGCTTATTACACACCTCCCTCCACCGTTCGCCGTCCAAACCCAGTCCCTTCAGATCGGCTTTAATGCAATCTTCCCTCCTTCGCTTCGGTCTAACCCTCGGACGTTTACCATTCGGTACAGCAAATATTAACCTTTTAGGAATTCTCTCGTTACTAAGCCCAACAATTTTACAATCCCATCTGATTCGCCGCGATGATATTACCTCAATTATTTTACGTGGATACAGTTCACGCAATTCGGCGTTGTGTGACCGTCTGAACTCTCCGGTTAACTCATCCTTCTTCGGTCCGAATATTCTACGCAATACTTTATTTTCAAAAACCTTAAGACGCTGCTCATCCTTTAAAGTAAGCGGCCAAGTCAAATAGCTATAAAAAAGTTTATTTAAATATTGGTCCGATTTTAGGTAGAAAAATAAGTTTTGTGTTTTTTTTTAAATATACAAGTGCTTCACTGTAAACTACGCCAAATTTACATTAAAGGAAAATAGAGTTTGTTAAAACCATTTAAAGGGGATTTTTGAACGACTAAACTAAGCTAAATTCTTTATTTAAAAAATATAGGCACACACATAAGGCATTTATATTATTTTTTTTTTTCCAAAAGTGGAGTATGTGTAGTATACTTCGAAGATGATAAAAAAAAAAGTTGAAAAAATTATGATTTCTTAAAAATAGAATTTAACTTAGTTTAGCCACACAAAAGTTCTCTTTAAATGGTTTTAACGATGGCAAAATCTGTTTCCCTTTGAGGTAATTTTTTCTAGTTTAAAGTGAAGCAATTGCTAATCACTTAAATTAAATATTTCTTTAGTTATCACTTCCTATTCAACAAAAAACAAAACTTGCTTAAAAAAAAACAACATAAAACTTAAATTTCCCAAGTGTCTGCCGATAATAAGACCATTTATAATGACCAATGTTTACAATGACCATGTTTACAATGACCATTTACAATGACCAACCAACATTACCAATGTTTACAATGACCATGTTTACAATGACCATTTACAATGACCAACCAACATTACCAATGTTTGCATAAACTTGTTTCTAACTCTTGAGGTTTGCTATCAATCCTATAAATATTCCCTTTTACCTACGGTACATCCTGTATATTTAACTGTTGAATTTATAAGGATGAAAAATGGATGTACATGTAAGGATGTGCAGTCAAAAAATTAAGTTTCTTTACCTTGCCAAAACCTCGGGAAACTCGATAAAGATAATTTTTTTAGTACACATCCTGAACATTTTTCATCCTTAATTTTTATCATAATAAATATTTTTAGTGGTAAGTTATAAGTAATTCTTCATACTACTGTTTGGTGGACTATAAAACTAAATACGACAACGTTAATGAATGCCAGTAAAGAACTAGGGCTCGAAATAAACACGGATAAGACAAAATATATGATTAGCCGCAAAAATACCGATATCGCTAGTGATATTGATATAGAAGGTAATATGTTTGAACAGGTAGAGAAGTTTAGCTATCTAGGGTCTACGATAACTAGAAATAACGAAATTGAAGAAGAGATTAAGGTTAGCCTGAAGGCGGGAAATGCTTGTTATTTTTCTGTGACAAAACTACTTAGCTCTCGCCTCTTGTCCCGGAATTTAAAAATTAGAATCTATAAAACCATCGTCTTACCTACAGTTCTTTATGGTTGCGAAACATGGCCGCTTACATTAATGGATGAGTAACGTCTTAAGGTTTTTGAAAATAAAGTATTCCATAGAATATTCGGAGCGAAAAAGGATGAATTAACCGGAGGATTCAGACGTTTACACAAAGCCGAATTTCGTGAACTGTATCCGGGTAATATGATTGAGGTGATTTTATCCCGGCGAATCAAATGGGCTTGTAAAATTGTTGGACTTAGCAACGAGAGAATTTCTAAAAGGTTAATATTTACTGTACCGAATGGTAAACGTCCGAGGGGTAGACCGAAGCGAAGGTGGGAACATTGCATCAAAGCCTATCTGAAGGAACTAGATTTGGACGGAGAACGGTGGAGGGAAGTGTGTAATAAGCGATTGGTGGTTTCGGCATCGAACCTTCGGGTTCGCTAAGCCTTTTGTTATTTATTATTACTGTTTGGTTGAGGCAACCAATAGCTCCATAATATGCCCATTGCGTGTTCATTCTCGATGAGGTTTTCCTGCAATACTTATTATTAAATAAATAACTTGTTAATATTACCTTTTGTGTAAGCCTGCGTGCGACGATGGTGATTGTAAGGCGAATACTGATCTTTCACAATTCCTGGCTTACTGTCAGTAACTAAAAAGAAAAAGTATATATATATTTAGTCATGTGATGATCAAATAAAAAAAAAATGATATTCTCTTTAAAAAATATTAACTATTCAATTAATAACAACTATTTAACTTTCATTAGAAAATCTATTAAATATTCAATTTGAATTTTCATGCTGTCGGACAATTTTGCTAAATAAAATTCGTGACTCATTCGCGACTGTTTTACGGGAAATTCCCGAATGGCAACATTTTTGCAAACAAACGATAAACTAAAATTTTGATTACGCACATATAATAGAATTTTGAATTAAAACTGGCACAAATCACAGGTGGGCTACAATAGAAATTTCACATTTCTTCTGAAAAAAAAAAACATAAACACGTCCGATCGTTTGATAATTTATAAGGTACTAAATAGACGGAACCACAGTTCGATTAAAGAATTTTAGGTATTTTATCATAGAAGCTTTAATAAGGCAAAAAAATGCTGCAAATTATTACACAACGGTTTATCATTTCCAAACGACTTAACATCAAAGTTAACATTATTATCCATGTAACATTAAAGAAAATAAATAAAAAGGATTCCTACCTAACATTGGCCTAAATAATTTTATTTTTTATCATTGATAATTTGCTTGAAAATAAACAACATTGCTACAGTTGATATCAAACTTTCAAAAAATCAAAAACCGAAACAAAAGATATAAACACTGCAGTAGAACATAAAAAATATTTAGAACACCATATCTTAGCTCCAAATTGTCCGATTTTAGTGATGTTTTTAGTAAAATTTTAAATAACCATGTACAACATTAACAAAAAAAAAAAAATCTATACTTCTTGAGTTATTCGGAAATGTAATTTTACTACCCCTCATAACTTTTGTTTCAGCTTCTTTTCGTTTAAGTGCGTTATATAGATAAATTTAAAGGTCATGAGGAGAAGACTTTAGCCAAATTTTATTGAAACTGGCACATTCGTTTAGGCACTACAGTCAACATAGGTTTTTCGGCCGCCATCTTGGAGAGAAAGGGCGGAGAGTAATGCCGAGGTAGAAGGATCATCCTCGAACCTTTGACATTGGTTTCAAATTTGAAAAAAAAATCGATTCAGTAGTCTAGAAGAAAAGCGGTGGATGGGAGACGGACAAAAAATTTTTTATTCGATTTTCGAATTGTACGTATCGTGAAACGTAAAACCTCAAATTTAGAGGAGGGATAATTTTTTTTTTTTTTTGGGCGATTAAAATAATAAACCAAAATTTGATAGATTTTCAAATTAAACGGTGTTCTTTCAATGCCTTAAAATGTGAAAATACTTGAAGGAAGGAAATTATCTTTTTTTTAAACTAGTTTGGATATATTTTTTTTTTTATAACCGTAATATTATATGCTAAGCGAAATAAGGCACATGGAACATTTTTAAAAATAGATAGAATATTATGTTTTAGACAACTCGATGCAATTTCATATATCGAACGAAAAACTACATAGTCCATATTGTTAATAAAGGTTTTAATTTGCAAAAAACATTTTTCAGATGTTGCCCCAACCCATCACTTTGGATGTTATTGAGGATTTAATTTGTGGGAACGTCAAAGTTGATCACTACCATTGTTTTTTTATTTATTTTTACATTGTTTAATTTTGTTAACATCGGTAATTACTCTAGTAGAAACATAAAGAAATAATATAAAATGATGTTGAAAAGTGTTACTTGAAGGCCTGTTCAAAAGGTATAGCCAGGATTTTCATTCTGAATCTTGATGTGACCATCAGTCGTCCTAAATAACTAAAAAAAAAAATGTCTAAATAATTTTTTTTTTCTCGAGATTTCCATTGGATACTCATCACTAAATCACTCTAATGCTTTAAGGAAAAAAAATTTAATATTTTTTCTTGAGGTTCTTCCATTTAGTAGCTGTATATAATTAAGTATTTATTGAATATTTAATAGTTAAATGTTGCATTATTAAGGAAGGAGATGATCCGGGGTGGCGGTCATAAATAGACTAAATACTGGCTATTTTATTAAAAGCCAACGTTTCGACCCGAATTTGCAGGTCTTCTTCAGGGGTAGAATGGACAAGACATAAACAGATATAGAGAATTGTGGAAGGTACATAATATTTAGACAAACAATTATAAACAGTAAGTACATTAAAATAGAAACAGAGTAAATTACAAGTGCATATATGATATTATATATTATACTACAATTGTTACTATTTATTTACTTAAGTTTAGGATCTTGTTACTTAGCTTACTCTGTTTATATTTTAATGTACTTACTGTTTATAATTTTAATAGGTTTATTCACATTGTTTATAATGTTTTGTCTAAGTATTGTGTAATTTCCACAATTCTCTATATATTTTTGTATCTTGTTCGTTCTAGTCCTGAAGAAGATCTGCGAAGTTAGGTCGAAACGTTGGCTTTTAATAAAATAGTTTTTCTACTATTTAGTCTATTTATGACCGCCATCCCCGGACCATCTACTTCCTTGATTAGGTATTTGGTTCGGATCGCTCATAAATGCAAATATGGACTAATGAAAAAAAAATTCTATTTTTTTGGGGGGAGGCCTTTAAGGCTCGGTCACACAGAACGCGATCCGACGTTACGTTACAATAACGCGCGATACTCACGGCGATAACTAATCCGGGGCAGTCACACAGAGGCGTTACTTTGAAAGCGATACAGCAGCCCCGTCGCTCTGCCTGCCTAGTCAGCTAGAGACCTGCTTCCCGCAACTTGTATATTAATAATTTGTTTTCGATATTTTTTTATTCATTTTTTTAATAGAAAATAAGTGATTCTGACGAGGAGCTCATTAGTTTAGCTCTTCAGCATAAGGTAAAAAAAAAAAAAAAAAGGATTCATGAAATCAAAAAGCACATAGACTGATAGAATACCATCGCCTCGGCCGTCTGCTTCAATCTTACGAAGATAGATTTTTTCAATATTTCCGAATTTTATTTTTGCTTTCTTTACATTTATGTTCTTTTTTAAACATAGATTATTTTATTATGAAATTATGATTGAATGTTTTGTATATCGCAAGATTATTTCATGTTTTCAGTGATTTTTTAATCTAATTTCATTAAATGTATTTGATTTAATGACTTATTTATTGTATATATATTATTTTTCTGTATAATTTATTTTATTTATTGTATTTATCTCTGAACACTATTATAAATGTCCTTTGAAACAGATTGTAATATTTTTCAATAAATAAGTTAAATAGAATAAAAAATTTAATGAAATTAAATACCAAGCATTTCGGCCAAAATTAAGTTGTTTCTTTTGTACTATTTTGTTATTCTAAAGGGACTTCGTTCCACAATAAAGTTATTTTTCTATTCTATTCAAGAGGGTTTAACAATCGTGATTTTATTCATATGCTTTAAATAATCAGGAACTCTAATTTTAAATATATGTTGATTTCTATTGTCTTGATCGTTAAATAATAAATATTTGGGTCTTTTTACATAAGTATCGCCAGTAACTTTTAGTAGAAAAACAGTTATAATCTCATATGTCATAAATGAATAATTTTTTTTTAAACATTAATACTAGAAAAGCAGATAAACACAAAACTGGTTAACTTTATGGAAAACAAATATCGAAAATTTAACTTAATTTACACCTCTACATAGTTTTACCATTTTTAGAAAGGTAAAATTTCACATCATGTACTCGGAAAGATTTCATTTTCTGAGTAATATTAGTTTCTCCTGCATCATTTTGATACCCTTTAATTGTGATGAAAGAATGTTACTTAATTTTAAGAAGTGCATTAAAATTTCAAACGCTCAATAAAATAATATGTTCATAATTAGGTTCAGGTTAAAACTTCATTTAGGTTTAACTGAAATTCCTACATTATGAAAGTCTTATAAAAAATATATGGTGTTTATGACTAATGATCCTTAGCAGAACTTTTATTTTATTTTTATTATTTATTATTTTTTTTTTTTTTTAAAGTTCATTTATTTATTTTATTATTATTTTTTTAAAGTTTATTTATTTTATCTTATTATTAATATTTTTAAGTGTATTTATTTTATATTAATTATTTATTTAGTCTTTTTGGTTTATTATTTTCAATAATGAACATTGTGAGTGACCAAAAAATTCAAAACTTATCACCCTCTTAAAATTTGAGGTTTTACGTATCAGGATAAGTAGATTCGAAAAACGAATTCAATTTTTTTGTCCGTCCGCCGTCCGCCGTACGCCATCCTCCATCCGCTCATTCTCCGAAACTACTGGACCGATTTTTTTTCAAATTTGGATATAAAATCAGAAGTCGCCCGAGGATGATCTTCCTTCACCGACATTGCCATCCGCCTTTTACTTTCAAGATGGCGGCCGAAAAACCTAGGTTGCTATAGACTATAGCGCCTAAACGAACTAGCGATTTCAATGAAAATTCTTTAAAGTCATTTTCCAGACGCCCTTTAAATTTATCTATACAACATATTTCAACGAAAAGAAGCTGGGAAGAAAGTTACGGGGGATGGTAAAATTAAATTTCGAATAACTCAAAAAATATACACATTTTTGTCGATGTTGTGACAAGATGTTTGAAAGGTATTTAAATTTCCTAAAAAATGAATGAAGTTTCATAGAAATCAAAGCACTATTAGTAGAGATATCGCGATTTTAATATATTTTGGTTTATTATTTTCAATGATGAACCATTGTGATCGACCAAAAGATACAAAAACTTAAACCCCTTTTAAAATTTGAGGTTTTACGTTTCAGGATACATAGAATACGAAAAACGAATAAAAAATTTTTTGTCAGTCCGCCGTCCGCCATTCGCATTATGGCTATAATGATTTTTAAAGGTTTAAGGGATTTCCTAAAAAAAAATAATTCATTAAAACCGGATAATTAGGAGCAAAGATATGGTCTCTAGTTTTTTCTACTGCAAAGGTTATACATATATATATATATATATATATATATATCTTTTGTTTTGGGTTTTAAATTATTTTTTTAGCATATT